CTCATACAACCTGATCTTGCAGCTGCACCACTCATACAACCTGATCTTGCACCTGCACCACTCATACAACCTGATCTTGCATTTTCACCAAACACTTCTGAAACCACAGTGGTTGTGGAGTTGACCTCCGACTCTGTTAATAATCATCATGAATCTTTTTCAATTTGTACCCGTTCACCGTCGCCAAAGCGTTTAAGAAGGGACTGTGACAACTGTGTCACCAAACAGCAGACAATATTGAACCTGCAAAAGGAGAACAAATGCTTACGCCTCCAGATCAGAACACTTAAACAGCATCACAGACAGGAAAAAAAACAGATGTCTTTGAAATTACTGAATCAGAAGATACGACGGCAGTCGCAGGCAGCAACCCTTTGGAGATCAAAATATACCAGGTTAAGGAGACAGATGAAAATCACTGAGAAAGTTCATGCTTCGACACTCAGGACAAAGAAAAAGTTATTTGAGGAGGAACTCAAAAAATTGACCTGTAGTGTTGAATACCTGCGCAGAGAGCTTGAAGTAACAGATAAGGAGAAGGCTTGTCTGAGAACTGAATTATATGAAACCAAAAAGAAATTTACCTGTAAAATGAAGAAAATGAAAACAAAGCTGAGTAAGGAAAGAGAAAGAAGTTTACTTTGGGAAAACCGATCAGCCATGCTTGAAGAATCTGCTGAAGAATCTGCGGAAAATTCCGACATAATAACAAAAGAGGCTTGAAAATATTACTACAAACTTAGACTTTGTATATATGAGTGTTTAATGCGTAATGTCAGTGTTGTTAACGTTTCTCGTTTGTTAACTTCCATTTCAGGAATTGCTTTTCAAAAAAGATTGTTAAATGTACCTTGCGTGTCTACCATAGCACAGATGGCTTATGAGCTTGGTGTGCTTGCCAGTATTCAAGTTGGCCAGATGTTGCATGAGTGCGAAGCTGGCACACTGGGATGGAATTCCACAACAAAACAAGGATCCCATATCAATGAGGTACATGTGTCTGTGACAACATCGCTTGGTAGACACTCTCTAACACGTAATATTGGTAATATTTCAGGATCAGCAACAAATTATGTGTATGAGCATGTCATTCAGGTTCTGTCTGATATTTTTGAGGTGTACTGTGATGCTTTCAAGATTCCAGTCTCTGATTTCAAGGAGTTAGTTAAAAGCAAGTTGAACAGTACTATGACGGGCAGAGCTGCTGTCAACCGCTGTGTGACCGAAAAGCTTCGGGAAGAGATCGGAGATTTGGCCGACCTGAAGTGTATGGTTCACCCTGTGGATGGCCTTGCCAGATCTGCCCGTGAGGCTTTTCACATTCTTGAACAGCATCATATTGCAGATCAAGACAGTCAGAACAGAGCATTGGGATTCCGTGCTGCAACTCTGCTACACCAAATTTCCAAACTTAGATATAAGGATGGGTCTGGTGATCCAGGTGCATTCATAGCCTTTTTGCGAAACAAAAATATTTATTCCAGCATCTTCAAGCGCTATGTTGGGAACCGTCTAAACATCATGTTCCATATGGCAGCTGTCGTTTACCTGCAGCGGGAGATATTGACAGAGTTTGTTAAACACAGACAAGCAAAAGTGCTGTGTGTGAAAATTCGTGAAAACTTGACAGATGAGACGGTCCTGCTTCATTTGCAGGTGCTGGGATTATATTCACGTTTTGTAACAGGGCCATGGATGCAGCTGTTCTATACAGACGACAAGGGAAAGGGACATTTAGAGGCAGTGCATCTGGTGAAGGAATGCATAGAAAGCCTCAAGAAAGTAGAATCTAAACCAGAACACCTAATACAAGCTGAAATTGATGCTTTTGGTAGGGTTATGGAGAAGTCTGAATTAAATCAAACTAGGTTTCCGCTTGAAGATTTTAAGAAAGTGTCAAAAACATTAGCAGAAGCTTTTATTAAAACCCTAAGTCGGCAGTTTAAAGACTACTTAGATGGACCCTTGTCTAAGCCGTCTGCTGAGTTAATTGCAAAGACATCTTTTGCCTCACTTTATAACATGCATGCAGAAAGATCTCTTGCAATTGTGGATGCAGCGGTGCGAAGAGCTCCCAGTGCTAAGCTCGTATTCATTGACGCAAAGGTGAAATCTATCCAAAACCAAACTTTGCACTGGCTGAAATCATTCGATGATGACCTACAGAAATATCTGATCAATTTTGCAGTTAGTCGTGGATATAAGGTGAGACAGCAGCAGGCTGAGGGGCAAAAGAAATATTTGCAGGAAAATTTCCAGAACTTTGACAAGGGTGTTAGAGATCAGTATGAAAAAATTATAACAACAGAATTTAGGCGTTCAGGGACAGTTTTTTCAGTACTTGCTTTAAATTTGTTTAAAGATGTAGATGAAGAGTCTAAAAATAAGTTGAGGAATTTTATGATTGACTCCGACGCTCTTTCAGGTGTGTTACTTCGTCACATCTGGTGTGATGAAGGAAAGAACTGTGCATGCATGGAGATGATTAAAGAAGTGCAAAGAAAGACCAATCCTCTTAAAACAAAGATAGAACTTTATTACTGGAAGGAGCCTGAGACACTAGCAAATGATTCTTTTCCCATGACATTTAATGAATTCTTAGTGGACTTTGCCACAGGAGAATTGACTTTTTATTAAAATAAGTATAATAAACAACTGTTGCTGATCCTGAAACAAAACAATAAAAAATTTAATTAAAAAATGGAAACAAATTTACGATGCAAAGGTTAATTTAATCATTGTTGTGTAGCTTCTTCTTTGTTCGCCTGTTGTATTATGCTCTGGCGGAAAGCCCTGGTTTTTGTTTTTGTTTTTTTGTTTGGTACTCCTGCTTTTCGACCCAGCCTAAAATGGGTACCAGGATGGGCTGTCCTGGGAAAGTAAAGACAGCCGGCGTAATGCTGACCACATTACCCACAGAGTGCTGATGGTCTGTAAAAATATGGGACGCTCTGCCTATATGCCCGATGCACCGAAAGGCGTGAAAAGGGATCTTTACTTTACTTACTCCTGCTTTGTGTCAGGGCCTGAGTTTTGCGTGTACACCTGTGTTCCTGACTCATTTGACCAACTTTCTAGGAATTCCCCAGTTAATTGACTCCTACAACATGCTTGCTGGAAAGGCAGTTGATCTATTCTTGTTTCCCCCCCCCCCCCCCTCCCCCACAAAGTGGCCCCTGCACCCACACGGGGAGTGTTATGTACCAGTATTTGCTCATTTATAGTTTTGTTTATTGCAGTGTTTATGTCATAAAGCTAAAGCATATTGTTAAGTTTTATTTCAGAAAAGTAAAGTTGTAACATATTTACAGACAATAAAGAGTACTGTAAACATATATGTCTTGAGATCTTTCTGTTATTCACAATCAAATAAATTTTTTTTACTGGAATTCCAGCTGCTTTTTTTTTCTTTGTTTGTTTGATTGAATGTTTGTTTGTTTGATAATTATTAATAATATTAAGCGGCAAGCAACCATTTTAGAAAAAATAATTAAGCTGACAGCATTCTTTGACGTCACCATATGGCCCAGTGATTGTACTATGAGGTTTAGAAAAAAAAATGGTGTTGACAAGATTTCGGCATAAACTTCATTTTTTATGGCAATTGGCAGACATTTTGAATACTCATTAGTCAATATTACATAATAACTAAAAATTTCAGAGTTTTTTAGTTTGACCTTGTTACCCCAATCCAAAAAATATATAATGTCAAGGGCTTATATTTATTTCAAATAATTCTACACTCTCTAATCTCCAATGTAAACAAAGCCAAAACGAAAGTGCGCAGAGAAAACTTTTTGTTTCTGGGACGCAAGTTTTAACAGCTGTTTTTTACATCTCATCTCCACAAAAACCTACATATCTCAGCTCAGAAATGACATACAAGCCTAAATGAGGTACAGTTAAAAAGATATTGTTTACAGCTATCTAACTCTGCTGGTTTTATTGGTGTAGAGGGCATTTTAAAAATTTGACTTTAACAGAGCCTCAGTCACATGTAAATTGCGAACATCCGGCGACTATACCGCCATCAACGAGAGTATCTCCCAAGCCGCTGCGGGGATTGGGGCTACACTAGATGGCTTTGACTCATGAGCAAAGCTGCAGGAGATGCGGAAGCTGCTGCTGGTGAGTCCCAGCCATCTAGTTCAGCCCCAACCCACACCGCGTGTAGCGTCATGGGAGATACTCTTGGCGGTAGTCGCCAGAAGTGCGCAATTTAAGTCGCTGGAAGTGCGCAATTTCATGCGACTAAGGCCCTGTTAAGGTGTTTTTGTGGCCGCCATAATATGGTGCCGTTATTCAAAGGATAGCAGATAGCAGACTCGAATCATTGGTAACTGCTGTTGGACCCCCCCCCCCCCCCCCCCCCCCCCCCCCCCCCCCCCCCCCCCCAAGATTGTCGGCTGTATCCATGAGAGAAAAGGCAGAGAGGAAAATGTGCCATCTAAGCTCTGCTTCTTTCGTCCTTGTGAACTGTGACTATCGAACAGTTATTTCAGTGTAGCGTTTGTGATCTCTCTTGGATATCCGCACTCATTAATTTATTCAGAACATCAGGGGTTTCGCTCGAGGAATCTACTTTCCCTTGTAGAGAAACTTCCTAAAAGGAGGAGCTGATCCAAATATCATAGTTAGGTAGGTAGTTGTATCAAACAAGCGATAAACACCAGGTGACTCAAAGTGCCACCATGCAGATGAGGTCCGGGAAACCCCATTCAGACGTTAGGCCATATCTATGGCTAGACCATATTTATGCCCCAGCTATATTCAGAGATGTGAAGGAACAGGTTAATGGATGTTTGTAGTTTGTTTCATTGGTTCCGTATGTTTCTAATCCATACAGCAGTAAAATTTTTGATATTATAATAAGATATTCCAAGTTTGCTACTAATTTAAATGTCCTGTGACATCCACAGAGGCATGATAGAAATTGTATCTTATTAGTGTGTGTGTTGAGTTGTTTCTGTAATGCATACTGTAGCATTTCAATTTAATAGATACCATAGTTGGATGGAGTCTGAAGAACTAAGAGAACTAACAGCATCAGAACGGCTGAGCTTAGAAGAGGAATATGATATGCAAAGAAAATGGAGACAAGACTCTGACAGTTAGTAAATATATGTTTGTTGTAACTTGGAAAACAGATTTTTTAACCAGTCTTTTGAAATAACGTTACCATTTGGGTTCCAGGCCCCATAGATCTACTGTCTACCCGACATACATGTCGTACGAGTAGACTAAGTGTGGCATCCTTTGAAGTCGGATTACATCTGCCTGAGAGGCAAGGAACGAAGCGTTTGCATACAGATAAGCCAGATCTGCGAAATGGATGTGCACACAACACTCAGGTTCTGCAAAAAGACTAGAAGTCCCAAGGTGGACGAACACCCAGAAATTTCTGCTGGAGTTTATAACCAGTGAACCCGAAGAAGACGAAGAAGAAAAACAAACATCAACATTGGCTTCTTCTACAATGTTCTGTAATTAATATTTCCATCTGTCTTTTATATTTCTTTTCAAACTCTCAAAAAACCTGTTCCTGAATTTAAAGTGAACATAAATAATAGCCACAGATAAAACTGCATGTAACATAAAAATAATAAATGGTGAAGAAATTGAAAGTGTCACAGACTTTGAATATCTAGGCTCAGTATCAGCAGCAATGGAAACTGTTCAAGAGAAGTTAAAATGAGGATGGCCATAGCAGTGCAGAGACTGATAAGCAGTTGAAATATTTGGCTGAACACTATTAAACAAATTACAGTGAAATTCTAAGAGCATTCATAGCTAGAGCAACATATGGATGTGGCTCATGGACTATCTCTCAATCAGTAAGGAAGAAAATATGAGCTTTTGAGCTAAACTCAGTTTATAACTCACACGTTAAAAGAGATTCCTCAACTGCACAGGACGGCAGAACTATTTTCCATGCCTTCGGTCATATTGGACATCTAGTGCTAGACCTATATTTTAATATTACCGTCTGCAATTAATGAGTGATATAGTCAACATCATGCTGGCCGCCTTGACTTCCCAGGACTTTGCCTGCTACCTATTTAAGGTTGAGTCGACCTAGGAGCCAAGGTCATACAGGATTGCAGGGTTCACCAGGATAATACTTAGTGTGTGGCCTTTATGAGTGCCCTAATTTTTTTTTTTTAGATTCATATTCTCAGTTTTCACCAGCTGTAAACTCTAGGAAAGTTCTGGTTATGCGTCCGCTTCAGGAATTTTGAGTTTGTTCCAGAACTTCAGTTACTGATGTAACCAAGGTGCTTGGGGAAAGAAAAATTTAAAAAGAGCCAAATATTCCTTTGTGACTGCGTATCAGTCCTCCAGACAACACAGAGGGATCCACGAGACAACATGGAGAGAAAACTGACCCGCCAGCTAAACAGACTCTCAAAAAACAATCAAATCGTCCATCAGTGAATCCCGGCTCACTGCGACATACCAGGAAATGAGTTAGCAGACAGAATTGCAAAAAATGGAACAAAGGAGAAACAGCACACCCCTTATTTGTCATTACCAGAAATCAGAACACTCATCAAGGGAAAGTACAAGGAATTGTGGAGAGAACAAACCAACAGTAAACATCCACAAGACCCCATCAGCAGACTCAAAAGAAAGCAATATACAACAATTTTCCGTCTTTGAACAGGACACTGCAGGCTCAACTACCACATTCATAAAATAAAGGCTACAGTTCCCACAATATGCCTGTCAAACAGGACCACAAACACCTGAGCACATTCTGCAGACCTGCCCACTCTACATACAACTTTGAAAATACACTAGGCCTCAAGAGCAAAGTGTGCAGAGCAAGCTATGGAGAACCACGAAGGACCTGCTGCTGACATGCGAGTTCATAAAGGCAACCCACCTAATAGTCTGATCTGAGCATACAAAACCAAACACAAAGATGAAGAAGTTCCAGAACTTAAGTTTTGCTTGCACATCTGTTTTAAATATATGGCTTGTCTGTGGTTTGTGTACATCACCTTTTATTGGTTCCTCACCTTTCAGATGGTTGCACTCTGACTTTGAATGAAACAGATCTAATTGATCACCTCCTATGGCATAATCTTGGAGGGGCAGTGGATCTATCCTTCCCCCACCCACAGATGGGACCCAGTACCTCACCGGGATCTTGAGATTGAATAGAGTGCCCTGGATTTGTCCTGTTTGGTTTCTAGTTTCCGAACAAGGATCTTCTCATAAAGATGCAGTGGCAAGTAACACCTTCAGCTTGCAGCCTAGAGAGGGAAAACAGACAGACTGAACAACACAGGGAGAAAGATGGAGATGAACAATATAATGAGGGGAAATTATTGACAGCTAGAGAGATAAACAACACATTGCAAACTCTCAAATTTATGGTGTAGAAACCTGGACAATGAACAGGCAACTAAAAAATTGAATTATGTAGAAATGTCTATGTGCAGAACAATAAACAAAAACAGTCAGACACAGAGGTTCTGAATAAATCTGGAATGAAAAGAGTTACTGAAAGAAATTTTTTTTAAAGACGCAGGGGAAATATTTCTGCCACATTAAAAGACACTTTTTATAAATCCATATTGGGGGGAAAAAGTCGAAGGCAAGAGAATCAACCTGTGAGCAAACTTTATTTACAAAGGGTTAAGAATGTAGACAAAGAAAAATGTAGACAAGGATACAAATAAGAGGACAATATCAAGAGATTGATGAACAGCAGTCTGAGAAAGTGTACTACCAAGACAAGAGACAGTGTGTTGGAAATCCATTGTAGCCAACTTTCATTGTGGAGACGGTAACTGTTTGATTGAATATGGTGAGGACATGAAGGTAGCTATTGGAGATGCTGAAAGAAAGGATGCCTTGACATGAGCTGGTGATGGATCTCTGCACCAACAGGGAATAATGGCGGAATTAGAAATAAAACGTGTACCTGTTGCTTTATTTCTTTTTCAGAATGCACTTTCATAATATTAGACAGGAAGCACTTTGAGCAGAATGCTACTATTGACAGACAAAGCAGAGAGATTGGTATGTTTCATTATTATTTTGGAAAAAAAAATTATTTAAGAAAAAAAGCATCAAAACTACTTCACCTGGAAATGCATAAAAAAAAGGGGTCATGAACTAGGGAATTCCTAAAAATAATCTAATATATATATATATATATATTTTTATTTTTTTTCTGATTACATTTGAAATGAAGAAGATTTGTACCCCGTATAATCAGTCTGACAGGTGAGGATGATAGTCACTACACTACAGCAGTTCATGACGATCAATATTTGCTGCATTGACATTACAGTTTATAGAATAGGCTTGGGTAGTTAGGCTAGTTTTCAAGTATAATATAATAGATCCACTGCCAAATTGTGCAGATGACGCAGCCTAACTGTAAAACCACAACTCAACATGATAGCCACCCATTTGAGGACAAACACAGACAAGAAAATATAATAGACCATGCTTTATATTATTTTTTGTCAGATATTGGCATTTTTATTCAGCATTAAATGGTTTTTGAATGTGTTAAGGGACTTATAATAGAAGCAAGGAATAGTAACACTGTAGTAGACCAAGAAACTTGCAAAGTCAACTGAAGGAAGTTTGGCAGGGATCTGGCTACTTCACCCAGTAGAAACCTTAGCTACAAGACAGGGCCAATTATGAACAAGTTTTAAGAACCAGAGATCTTTAAGTGCAACAGATGATTGTCATTTGCTGAGTTGGAAATAACATACAGTGAGCGATACATGAAATAAGATATGATGAGTTGGAAAAACTATATTGAGTTGTTAAATGCTTTATTTGCAATTTTGCTATTATATAAAAGTTCATCCATGGTTTAACCAGACAGTAAGCATACTGTTTTCATAATAATATTATTATTATTATCAGCATCATCATCATCCTCCTCTAGTGGTAGAAAAAAGGAAAATAAATTGAAGAAAGTTAACTTGTTTGCTACATGAGTAAGGTAAAATTAGTTGTAAATCAACCTGTGATGTATTTCTTGCTACCCAAGGAGTTAATATAAATTTATTTAACAATACACATTTTTGATAATTTATAGAGGCAATGGTTGGTGATGTCAACATTTTCTATCCTCCTGATTCACATGGACGTGTGGAAGGAGAAATTGAAATAATGATAGCAGGCAAGTATATTTTTCTTCTTCTTCTTAGTTCACCGGTTGTAAGCTCCGTTGGAAAGTCCTGGTTGTTCATCCATTTGGACTTAAGCTTTGTGTGAGGGCCTGAGTTTTTCTTGTTCATTTATTTTGCTGGCTTATTTGTGTGCAGTTGTTGTTCCTTGCTGCTCTGGCAAATGCACTCAAACTTTGAAGGAAGCTCCCAGTTGGTCGACTCTTACGACATGCTTTGTGTGTGTGTGTTTTGTTTTGGGTAGGCAGTGGGTCTGTTCTTGTTTTCCCTCACCATGGGGCCCTGGAACCCACACAGGGGGCAAGCAGATTTAACTGATTCATTACATGTGGATGTTTTCACCTGTGTTGATCATAATTATTATCAAGTTGTGATGCAGATGTACTGAGTCACATGTGGTGATGCACCAGGACCAAGGCCCATACTGATCAAGACCCATTTACACCTCTCTGTGGTCATCCTGGAAGCCTGGTCAGCGTAAATAGGACCAACATGTACTTCAGAGTCTGAGCTCATTTGCATGAGAAGCAAGGAGTCAACAGTCTGCACACAAATAAGCCACATCTGTAAAGTGGATGCCCACACAAAATTAACGGCTTAGAGTAAGACCAAAGTTCAGGAGTGTATGAACAACCAGAACTTTCCACAAACGTTTACAGCTGGTTAAAAAAAAAAAATTTTAACAAGCTGGAAAAAAGAGGCACAGATACTTTTGCTATAATAATACACCTGGTCAGCTGTAAAATTAGTTAGTCAACAGAAAATCTTCACTGTATAACAAGCCATTCAGTTAAAGTCCATGCTGTTTGGTGCTGTCAGTTCGCAGGATTCTGTTTTGTGTACTGTCAGTCATTTGTTCTTCTTCTTTTTTTGTTCACTGACTGTAAGCTCTGGCAGAAAGCCCTGGTTATTTGTCCATCTGTGCTTTGTACCAGGGCCTGAGTTTTGTATGTATATACATTTTTTGGCTTATTTATGTGCAGTTGGTTATTCCTTGCCGCTCAGGCAGATGCACTCCAACTTTGAAGGAAGTCCCTGGTTGGTTCACTCCTATGAAATGCTTGCTGGGATGGCAGTGGATATATTTTTGTTTTCCCCACAATGGAACCCCAGAACCCACATGGGGACCAGTCATTTCTGAAACAGTTAATTTTCATGATGCCAAACGGTCCTCCTCCTCCTTTGCGTTCACAGGCTGTAAACTCCAGCAGAATATTCTGGTTGTTCATCTACTTTTGGACTTTATACTTGTTCCAGAACTTTAGTTTTGCATGCACATCTGTTTTACACATCTAGCTTATTTGTCCGTAAACTGTTGGTTCCTTACCTCTCAGGCAGATGCACCCGACTTAAAAAAACCACCCCAATTAGTTGACTTTTATGACATCCTTGCTTGGGGTTTGGGGGGAGGGGTCTTTTAAATTGTTCCCACACCAAGATCTTAACACTGAAATGGTTAAAAAGTCAAATGAAATAGGCTAACCTATTCAGTAAATATCCACTGAAGTTAAAAAACATAAAAATATAGGTCTAGCCCTATATGCCCTATAAGCCACATCTGTAAAGTGGATGGAAAAGGTTCCTTTACTTACTTTTTTGTTTAGAGAAGTTGGTTTAGATGTGAATTCATTTATTGTCATATTTTAATTCCAGCAGTATATAAAATCTACTTTACAATTAACAGTCTATAATATTTCATGCATTTTGTTGCAATGAACAATAATGTATATTTGTGAAAGATTTGATTTAATAAATTTCAGTTGTTTTGCTTACTAGAACCATCAGCTCGAGGCAGAGGACTTGGTAAAGAGGCTTTATGTTCTATGATGAGATATGGTGAGTTGGAATAACACACAGTGTCTGAAAATAAGATTTGATGAGTTGGAATAAATACAGTGAGTAATATTAACATATGATGCGTTGAAATGAGATATCATTCAGTCAGTCAGATGTCCTTTACAGAATGTCGCTCTCTTCATGGCATGCCTGAAAGTCTCTCTTTCTCTTGCCAGTTCTCCAGCCCTGTGTGCTTTCATAACCAGTGCATCTTCACTATCCTGTATCCACATCTGTGAAAGTCAGCCTCTGCCTCATTTTCTGGAAACTGCACCCCCCATCACCGTTCACTCCAGACCCCCGTGTCACTTGACATATCCAAAATACATCAGCTTTTAGGAGAGGATGTTGTTTACAAACCAGTCTCCTTGGTGTTCAGGTCTTGCAAGATGTGGATATGTTTTGTTTTTTTCTTGGTCCACAGGATTGTAAGAATATTTTGTAGCATTTCAATTTGAAAGCTACAATTTTCTTCTTCAAAGACTGAGTGAGAGTCTGTGACCTACACCCATAAGTTGCCATGAGAAACATGCATAGCCTCAAAATTTTCACTTAGCTTGCTTGCAGGTGCTATGCCACAGGTTCTTCATGCTGTTTAGCCTCTGCATTGCTAAAGCAAGTCTTTTTTCTACCTTTTTTTTTTAAGTGCAGTCATCATTGTTGTTCATTCTTTTTTTTCTTCTCTTCCACCATTTGCCTCAGTGAGGTGTTGGAGGGAGATGTAAGGATCGTTTTTGTGTGCTTTTTCCAGGGCATTCTTGTCAGGTGGCCAAACTATCTCATTTGTTGTTCTTTAGTGAATTGTAGGACTGGGCCTAAATATTCAAAATATGTGACATTTTCAGTCTTTTCGTGGTTGATGTGCTATACTCATTGTGAACATATTTTTTTTAGATATTTTTTTTTTAGATTCAGAAATAGATTCTCTTCTTAACTTTGCTTTTTGGCAGTCAAAATTAATGTTTTTGTTACAAAAGTTTAACTATGGGTTTACCATACAATGAGCATACTGTTGTCATATCCTCCTCCTTCTTCTTCTTCTTCTTCATCTGTGTGTATCCTCTTAAACAGGCAATTGGCACATTGTATTAGGTTTAAACTAGGCTGTGTCATCCACACCTTTTGATCCAACGTATCCCATTTCAGCGAGCCCATTATTTGCATTTTTTGATGAGGGTGTTTAGGTGCAGTGGGTCTGTTCTTTTCCCTCCAAAATGAGGCTCTAGAACCCACATAAGTACTGTTGTCATATCATTTCAGTCCACAGTTCTGTGTGGTCAGTGAAGATTCTTTAGTAGATTCAAGCATAATTATTTTGTTTTTAATTCTGGGTACTTTTGGGATGGGGTTAGGGTAGCTGCTGTAATGTCTAAGAGCAGGGGGGGATGGGAAACTATCCCCCCCCCCCCACCCTGGGAACTGAATAATTAGCCACAAATTTAATTAATTCGCCAGAAATGTGATGGCTGAAACTGTTTCTTATTATTGATTTACCTAATATAAATTAATTTTTTTTAAATGTGGCAGATATATTCATCTTCAATTCCTGCCCGCATTTGGCTTGGCAGTACCAGACTTGATGAATTCATGGGACATATGAGCCCGTTGCCAGATGTTCCAACCCTTGCCCTCGTAGTGGTTCTCAACCTTCCTAATGCGGCGACCCTTTAATACAGTTCCTCATGTATTGTGGCGATCCCCAATCATACAATTATTTTCGTTGCCACTTCATAATTTCAATGAATATGTGTTTGCCAAAGGTCTTTGGCAACCCCTGCAAAAGGGTCCTATGACCCCCAAAATGGTGGCAACCCACAGGTTGAAAACTTCTGCCCTAGAGGGTGAAAGAAAGTAAAAAGTGGTGCTTCCCATACAGGTTTGAGGCCCCATTGGGGTAGAGGGGTGGGAAATAATAGACCCACTGCCTCCTAATAAGCTTGTTGTAAAATGCGACTAATTAGGTGTGTTTGCTTCAAAGTCAGAGTGCATCTGCCTGAGAGGTGAGCAACCAGCAGTCTGCATACTAATAAGCCAGATCTGTAAAACTGATGTGCATGCAAAACTCAAGTTCTGGGAACAAGACTAAAAGTCCAGAAGTAGACGATCAGCCAGAACTTTCTGTCAGAGTTTTCAGCCAGTGAACACTAAGTAGAAGAAGAAGTAAGACCTGGTGCTATGTTTGGACTATATAGACTTACTTTTTCTGCCAGAATTCCAGTGAAATTGGACAAAAAGCTTAATCAAATGGGAAAGCAGAAAAATGTCGCAAAACAACACAAATAACGTAATGTTTCGGCCGGGCAGCCTTTGTCAAACATGAAGTGAACTACACAAAGGTAACAACGAGGAGATGAGAGTATAAAGATCTCTAAGGGGTGACATGAGCAATGATTTTAACCCCCATATTTTCACCATTTTCTGCCAGAGCAGGACACTGTTTTCCATCTTAATGTCCAAAACTAAATGTGTTAATTGTTTTCAGCACAAGAATCACTGAAGACCAGGACATTCACAAGTAAAATTGGTTTTGGAAATGTTGCAAGTCTGCAATTGTTTCACTCTTTAGGATTTGAAGAAGTAAGTCAGAATTTGAAATCATGTGTTGCGATTTTTTAACACCTCTTCTTCATGTTTACTTTGCAGCATTAGCTTTAAAAAAGCGTTATAGAATGTGCTGCACATACTGCAGTGTTTGTAGCCATTTTATTACCACCTATCCATTTGTTTGTTAAATGTTGAATTAAGAATCAACATCATACTACTCTGGACACTCCCATAAGCAGTCCATCCCCATCTTCAGCAAAAAGTTCTAATTCCGATGGCACCAGTAACTGTCTGATTCTGTATCCATCTCGCCCTTCCTCATTTGTTTGAGGATTAAGCATGCAGTTTTTAAAAAACAAAAAATGAATAATTACTTTAATAAGATAATTTTAAAAGCAGTTTACAAATGTCAGTACTCCAAAGTGAATTGCCTAATAAAGGTTTAAATAATTTTGCTCAGCACAGAATTAAAAACGATGGTAGGTACGGTACTGGTAAATAATTACATAGAACATCAAAGGATCAAATGATTTAGTCATCCAATCAAAATGGAAAGAAAATCAGCCAGCAGCTAGAACATACTACATGAGAACAGCTAGCTACAAGTCAAGGGGCCGACTAAGTAAGAGATGGGTGAAGGGAGTCAAAGAGACATTACTGAAATGCAATATGACATTACCACAAGTTATGCAACTAGCAAAAGACAGGAAACTACAACTAACTTCTTTCTGTGAAGCTAACATTAGGACAAAACAAGAATAGGAAGAAAATGTTCTGTCTCTTCTTCTGCATTCACCATCAGCTTTGCTAAACATTCAGTCCTGAGTGGGTGTGAAAAAAGAGGAGGATGAATCTAAGGTTAGCACTTGTCTTGGCCCATGGGCCAGAACCCCACCCTCTATCAGATCAGGCAAGGCAGTCCTGCAGCATATGTTCAAGAATATGTCTGCTGCACAGTTAGGGGTCGCAGATTCTTGTATTTTATGTATATGTGCTCTAATTCTGCAGTGTTCTGTTTAAGGCCTAAAAATTATTGTTTGTTCCTTTCTGTTAATTTTATCTTCCCATGTTAAATTAGCAGTGTGCCAGCAAATTGGCCGGTAGTAAGTCATATAAAAGTAAAAGACTTTTCCACACCATTGGGTGTATTTAGTATATAGTGCTAGACCTGTATTTTATAGATGAATCAGCACTCAGTTGGTGGTGTTATCACCATGATACCGGCCACCTTTACTTCCCATGACTTTTGTCTGGTATCCATTGTAGGCTGGTTCAACCTCGGAGCTAAGGTCATTAAAAAAAAAAAATCGGGCCCGATGCATATTTAAGCCCAACACCTTTGAGGCCGCAGGTGGGCATCTAGTCACTACACCACAGCGGCTCCCACTATGTCAGATTAGAGACCCAGTATTGTGAAGCTCACTTTGCTTCCAGTGTATGATCTTTGTTACACTACAAATAATAGTTTTGTGTGTGTGTTCTCTTCCTTTATATTATAATTAGTGTAGGCATATTGGTTATGCAGCTTTATTGAGGCATTATATTAAAAATCTAATATCAGCCCCATGTTATGAGAAGAGGGAAAATAGAACACTGTTGTGACCACTGGAAAGATCTGTGGAAGGAAGAATAGAGGAAGACAACGAGAGAAGATTCTTGACAGTCTTGGTTGCATGGAGGCGAGTTGGCACACAAACTGATACATGCTGCAGGAGATCGCAGATTGTGGAGAGGCATGATTGCCCACGCCAGTCAGCAAGGCACCTGATGATGATGATGAATATCAGCCACTAAAAGAGTTAGTCGTTCCAGTGTTGAATGCAATTTTTCATTATGTGAAGCCCCACGCTAGCTTTTACCGGGGGCCCTAAATATAGCCAGGCTATAAATATGGCCTGAATGGTTGGGTTTCTGGGACCTCTCCACGGGTGATCCTCATCCGCATGATGGAACTTTATGTAACTGTGTGTTTATCACTTGTGTGATGTCCTGGTGGGACACAACAAGAGATAGATAGATAGATATCTGCCAGTGCAGTTTATTATTGCCACATAATATTATAATACAAAATATGATTGTTTATTCAGGTCTCTAGGTCTGACGTTTTTCAAGAGGTAACATTATCATTTGATGCATCAGATCCTACTGTTTTCTTTCCCTGGACAAAGGATTATTTTACTGAAACAATTGAAACGTAAAAATAAACATTGATCTCAGTATGTATTTTTGTTATTTGGCTTGAGTGTTGCAAACGTTGCAAGTGGCATATGTTGCAAACATGCACGTGGATGTGAAACAGATAATTTACACCTAAAATAGAAATGTATATTTTAAACAAATCTATAATTTAACAATACAGGAAGTGAACAAGTTCTGTATATATCTTCGTCTTCTTCTTCTTCAGCATTCCAAGCTCTTGAGGTTCATTGCTGCAGATATCACCCGCCTCCATTTATCTCTCTGGTTGGCCTTCTTTTTCCAGTTGGTGAGACCAGGTGTTTGCAGGTCTGCCTGGACTATCTGTTTCGTGACGAGATAAAGTTTTACGAAAGTGGGGATGTCGGCCCCACGCTTCAACCCTCAACCTGGAGGACCAGGGTGTCTCTCTTTGTCTGTTCTCTACCCTTCGACCTTTCCGGCTTGGGAGGCCATGCTGGTAGCTACCCTACCGCTGGCATAGCTCTCAGGATCTTTGAGAAACACAAGCTCCTCAACCATGGCAAGGTGGAGACACCTTCGGGGGAGTTCTATATATCTAAGCCATAAAATTTGTTTTAGAGCTATTTTGCCTCTGGAACCGCTACCCAAAGGTTTCAAATCATAGTGACTCCAAATGTGGATTCAAGGACCCCATTTTGTGGTAAACAAGAATAGACCTACTATCCCTTTAACAAGCATGTCATAAAAGGCAACTAATTTGGGTGTTCTATTCAAAGTTGGGGTGCATCTGCCTGAGAGGTGAAAACTCAACAGGCTGCATGCAAATAAGCTAGCTATATAAAACAGATGCTCATGCAAAACTCAAGTTCTGGAACAAGATCAAAGTCCAGAAGTGGATGAACAGCCAGAATACAGCAGTGAACACAAAGAAGAAGTACAAACACACAATGCCCAATATGCCTGAAGCTGTGGAAAAGGGTCCTTTATGTAATAATTGTAACAGATTATAGGAGTATGGCATCCGCCTAGAGTGCTAGAGGTCCCGGGTTCAAGCCCGGTGAAGGCTGGGGTTGTTTCGCATGGACTTCTAGTAATATCTCCTGGTCTCTGGGCAGTAAGATCGGACGCCCCTGTGTATTGTTGTGCACGTAAAAAAAACCCTTGGCATATGGAAATCGAAAAGAGTAGCCTAACATCGCTGCCCGGGCAAAATTAATCTACCTAAAGTATTTTAGGATCCTCGCCGGTGCTACAGAGTTCATGCACTCCGCTGAGATTCTTCGGACTTAGACTTGAGTTAGAAATAGAACGGAGCACTGATGAGTTACTACCCTTGTGCCATGATGTTGATAAGACAGACATACAATCAGACTGTAACTGATGCGATCAGAACTGGAATTGTGCATTGCCTCCTGTAGGATGAGGGCCTGAGCCGCTTATGAGAATGTCCTGATTATTGTGATGTCGGTTTTTAATTCAGTTCAATGTGTTTTTGTTTTTTTTAAGGTACACTAGGAGTAATTAGAATGTGTGAAGGAAACACACAGAAACTGCGGAATAAAGACAGACATGAATATGCGAACAGAATTGGAAAATGAATGGAGAGGGCATGGAACTACGGCAAAGGATGGGACGATAGCACGGGAATAGGCTCTACTGGGAATCAAGTGCACATAAAGAAGACAGAAAAATAGAAACACAACAAACTATGCTGAATGATGCAACTAACATCTCACATTTTATTTTTAAATCTAGGAAATAGCTAGAGAATAGAACATATAATTCTTCTTCTTCTTCCTGTTCGCCGGCTGTAAACTTTGGCAGAAAGTTCTGGTTGTTCATCCACCTCTCACCTGAGTTTTGCATGCACATCTGTTTGACAGATCTGACTTTTTTTGTATGCAGACTGTGGGTTCCTTGGTTCTCAGGCAGATGCACTCTGACTTCAAAGGAAAGGCCTAATAAGTCGACTCTTAGGACATGCTTGTTGTGGAGGCAGTGTGTCTATTTTTGTTATCCCTTACAATGGGGCCCTGGAACCCACACGGGGAACACTTATAATCGTATCTGTAGCCGGTAATAGATTTCAGAGCTATAGATTCTTCTAATGCCTGCAATATGTGCTCCTGAGATTTTACTACGTAGTATCACTGTTTTCGGTACAGTTAAAGAGCAAATTGTTTTGATTATTTCTTGGTTCAGGTTCTAATAACCTTGTCGAGCGAGTAATTAAACCTTTCACCCTGGCGACCTAAAAAAATGTATGGAGTTTAACCAAGGCTTTCTCTAGTAGCTGGAGAATGCTTAAACAAATTTGTGTAGGATGTCCCATTTCCGGTTCAAAATATTTGTAGGATGTCCCATTTTAAGCTCAAGATATTATGGCCACCCTACGACAAACCCACCTGAGTTGTGACAGTGTTATTTCGTAACCGTATCTATGCACTGGATACCGTCCTAACTGTGGAGTTCCCGGAAATTAAAGAGCTGATAAACTAGCTAAGGAAGGTGCAATTGAGAAACAACCTGACGTATCAGACTGCTATCAGCAGAAGAAGAGAATAATTGAATCAACCAGAAAGCCACCAGAACTAGCACAAGACGATTACCATATTATGGACCAAAGCACGTCATTATCCTACGCCTTAGAACAGGGCCAAGATCACAAGGTTGGGTCACACCTGGAGAATTGAGGATGGCAGAGTCAGTAAGGACATCCTTTATTATATATAACGACAATTAGATGTTGTTGAGGCCGACCAATACTACGATATAAAGACACGTGTGCAAGCGGGACATGAATGAAACAGGTAGTGAGTTGGACTTGTGGGAACAGAATGCCGTGTTGTATGGAGGGGTACAGCAGGAAAGGGATGAGAATGAAGGGAAATTTTATTGCTTAAAAGATGAGAGCTGAGCGTCTGAGAAGAAACAGACTAAACACAAATGTTGACAACAATGGTCTCGAAATTCCATGCAATAACTGTTGAAGACTATTTTTTAACGTGGGCGGGTTTTGCTAGACACATTCACCATTGCCATGGGCTGTGAGGCCCATGCCTCCTCATACCGTAAAATAGCACTATCGTCTGGAAAGACGGAAAGATGTCAGTCAGAACAGGACACAATCGACTTCGCCGCTACATACATGTAGCCTACACAAAATTTAAGCCTTGTGCAAATGTGGACTAGCGCCGGAGACAACAGATTACATCCTCCAAGACTGTCCCAGTACATTCCCAGCCAAAAATCTGACCAAGAGAGACACTGGTGAAAGCCAAACTTTACAGAGGAATTACCACTAAGGGAATTACAAAAGACCGTGAAGTTCTTAAACAAGACAGCATTGCAGGTATAGATATATTTATTTCAAGCGAACGAAAGACAAAGTTGAACTTCGTAACCGTCTAAAGTCGTAACAGAACTGCGCTGTACAGATAAGATGGACGAGACAAGAACATTGACCCAGTCCGTCGTTATGATTATGGTCGTATAGGATGGTGAAACGTGACAGCTTTCACTTATTGGCAGGCAACATGATGTTGATACGGTTAAACGAGGTCTGCTCCTGTTAGATTCACACCCTTAATGGTGCTGCGAGGAGTTACCAGGAGATCTGGCCGACGTCCAACACTCAGGGGAAGAATGAGACGGATATACAATCAGACGGTTACTGGTACCCAACGCCTTCTCTAATATAAATAGAGAAGGCCGTGCTCGAACCATAGGAATAGGAACTCTTCGCTTGCTGCTGAAAATGGGGACTGCGCACTTATGGGAGTGTCCCGAGTGCTGTGATGTCGATTCTTCATTTGACGTTCAGATTCTCATCCGAATAGTGTCTACTTGCGTCAATTGGTGGGATAATTGACAGTTTTAGGACCACTAGAGATTTGACACCCCCCCCCCTTTTTTTTTTTTAAATTATTTATTGTCGTGTCTTAAACCTAGCTGCGACTAATTTGCCAGAGTATTTCCATATGAAATATGGCCTTAGTGACAGTCAATAAACATTTTCTCCGTGTATAACCGCCATTGAACGTCCATGCCGTCCCCTCCACCTCCCTAAACCCCGCCATCTCTAGTCTATACAAACAATTGTCAGTCAACAAACCATGGCCGACCTGGAGAGAGTGCTGAAGAGGTTACCCGACGATGTTGTTGAATACAGCGTGTTCCCTCTCATCCCCGATGATCTACCAAGCGAACGTGTTTCTGACTTTCTGGAGAAGTTCGCTGACACTGTTTTAGCTCATTTAAGTGACAGGATTGTGGATTATATCTGGCAGCATGAGTCATTCAATCTAAGACCGATAGTGTCGCCCAACGGTTAGTTTTTCGGTTTTCGTTCAGTCTGTTTAAAGTAGGGATGCTAGTGAAGTTTTTATATATTGGTGTTTACCTATGAAACCATTGCAAATATCTAGATAGAGATTAAAATATATAGATATAGAAACATATAGATCTCCTTGATGAGTCTTGCCGACAACCTGTAATTTTGTAAATATCATAAATATGGATTTCTATTTTAAGTATTTTCTCAAGGGAAATGGATGGGGTGACGGGGTGCTAGCTCTAGTTCAACTAAACTAATGCTTCTTATGTTCTACAAATCTTATGTTAGGGGAAAAAATGTTGTAGCATTCAGCGTGATTCTGACGCAAAAAGTAATAACTGTGAATTGCATAAAATTCAGCATCAAGAACTATGCATCATAGCAATACAACCAACACTACACTACATCAAAGGAAGCTTAGAAGTGGCACTGGTAATTTTCATGCCTCCACACTTTAGAAGAAAGGAATTAAGTCTAAACTTCTCCATCAGAGCTATCAGTGACCACACCCACCCAGCATATAATTGATCATTTCATTTCTTGAAGTACAAACAGGTGTCCAATATGAGGCCAAATATTTATAATATATATAATATTCTGACAACTATATTAAATGCACAACAGATCAATCTTCTGAGTAATTCTGCAACCCTGAACAACCTTTTCAGTAATTATAAAAGTAACGACCCTAAGCTTGTAAATTACGTAATCCTCTATAGCACTTCAACCTTTCTGAGACAGATGACAGTCTCGTAGTGTTATCAGTAAAGTTTCATACCCTGAGTTGATAAAAGATATGACTATGCTATGGAACATACACAACATCTAATAAAGAATATTTTGCCAATTATCACAGATGGGCCCAAAAGAGAAGATAACAAGCTAGAAATAGGCTTGAATATTCTGCAGTGGAAACTCAAGAAAAACTATAACATACCTGATAATCTACAAATGTTCACTGCAGAAATTATTGCTGTACTCGGAGCTATTTAAACGGTACATGATAACCGTCAGAAACAACTGACAGTTTTAACAGACTTCCTGTCAGCTATTCAGGCTTTAAAAATTAAAAAATGTGTAGCAGACCAGACTTAATAGAAAAGATTTCTCTGGCTACCACGTATCTAAACATACGAGGATGCTCATTGCTGGTTGTATGGATACCTGCTCATGTGGGAATACATGGTAATAAAATTAGGCTGTCTTCCCAATAATGGTCCCAAATTATCAAGGGCGAAAATATACCCTAACAGGGCCTCAGTCACATGTCTTCTTCTTCTTCGCGTTCACCAGCTGTACACTCTGGCGGAAGGTTCTGGTTGCTCGTCCACTACTGAACTGCAGTCCTGCTCCAGAACCTGAGTGTTGCATGTGCATCAGTTTTACAGATCTCATTCTCTTGAATACAGACTGTTGGTTCCTTGCCTCTCTGGCAGATGCACTCCGACTTCAAAGGAAGCTCCCCAATTAGTCGACTCTTACGACATGCTTTTGGGGAGGCAGTGGGTCTATTCTTGTTTTCCCCACAATGGGGCCCCGGAACCCACACAGGGGTCAGTCACATGTAAATTGCTGACCACTTCCGGTGACTTCACAGCATACCGCCGAGAATATCTCCCGCACTGCTACGCGCGGAGTGGGGCTAAACTAGATAGCTGGGATTCACGAGCCAAAAAAATTGAGGAAGCTGCTTGAGATGCGGTAGCTGCTGCCGGTGAGTCCCAGCCGTAAAGTTTAGCCTCACTCAGCGCGGGAGATACTCTCGGCAGTGACTTAACTCGGCGGAAGTCTTTTTGCAGTATGCTGTGTAGTCGCTGGAAGAGGTCCACAATTTACAAGTGACTGAGTATTTTCGGCCTCGATAATTTTTGGGCCGTTATTCAGAAGATAGCCTAAAATTGCAGATAGGGAAGCAAAAAAAAGGTAGATCCAATCAAAACACTGTTAATATAAGTATGAGCACAGGAGACATCAAAGACACTTATATGAGACTTTTTACAGTAGAATATCTAGGAGGAAGGCGAGGGGAAGATCAAGAAAGAGATGGATAAATGGTTATATGAAACCTGCAAAAAGTTGAACAAATCTATCACTTAAGCCACCCAAGAAGCGCAAGACAAATACAGAAAACCACGACACTGGGCTGCAGCCTGGTAACAGTGAGATAACAGAAGGAAAAAATCATTGCGTTCTATTTGTTTGTTTGAGTCTAATAAGTAATTAAACTATAATTAAAAATGAAGTATTATTCGTAGTTTAGCATAGTCTATAGAGACTATACATGTACATGGCTGGTGTTTTTTTTCTTTTTCATGTTACTGAATGTATGTTAAGATGCAAAATTTTTTTTGTTTTTAACCCTTTATGGTCCCATTTATTCATTTACCATTCTGGTAGTCTTAGTTTTAGCTTTATAGCAAACGTGTCACCCCATCTTTGCTCCACTCCTGTGCCAACGAAAAACACACAGAATATTTATCACAGTCCCTTGTGGAAAGATTGACAGACTGCTGTCTCAGCTTATCTAGCATACACACGAGTTAAAGCATATGGTAGCCATCCGAAGTGCTAACACAAACAGTCTGACATTAGAAATGCAGTTCATCATTGATGGTAGCAGAAGTCACCAACAGATCAGCAGTTGCCCACGCCATCAATTTTAATCACATACGGGCACCACCAACATTGCGACAACAGGCATAACGCCATTTTCTGAATCTACAATTCACACCACAGTCGAAAAAAAACATTCCAAATGAAAAGTGCAGCTCACCGTGTCACGCCATGCATTAAACTCAAAAGCTGGGTGAAGAAACTATCCAGTCTACAAATGGAGCAAAAATGCATTGGCCACCGTCCGGCAGAAGCAACAAATTTGCCTAGGCTCAGAACAATGCCCCTGCCTTGCGTCCATTTTGACCAGAAGTCTCATTTACTCATTTACCATTAAGTGAGCTTGCCCCAAAAATACTGAGTTTGCCCAGTAAATGTCTATGGCAGATGCCCATGAAATGAGTGGCAGCAACAGACGTAATTAAAATTACAAGCGTAGTGATGAACTAGTATTTTTGCCGAGATTGGTGATGAAGATAGAGGCGGAGTGCTTATGGATATGTCTAGAATGGTTATAATGTATTGCTAATTTAGCATGATGGTTTCAGCTTCACTGACGACCTTCCTCAGCTCTCTAGGCTCAATGACTGTTTCTCTCTCCTCTGAGTTGCTACCTATAGACCGGAAGGCTTATTCCCCCTGCTACTCAGAATTAATTCGAACTCCATGCAAATTATCTAAGAAGGATAGGAATTAATTAAACTTATTGATCACCCATCCTATTTTGCCATGACCCAGAATGTAAGCAGACAGTTGGGTTAACCTCTGTCCCTCTATCATGTAGGGGCTTTAGTGCTGCATTTCGGGGGGGGGGGGGGGGGGGGATAGACTGACTCTTCCCCATAGCAAGCAAGCCTGTCGTAAAAGGTGACTAATTAGGTCGTTTCCTTCAAAGTTCTGGGACTAAATATTCACCTGTTTTTCTGATAGGACAGTTAGGGACATTACATTTGGTTTTCACTGTCGCAGGAATGGAGCAAGTATAGGAAAACCCAATTGCAGTGAAGTTAAAACCTCAACAACTTCAGAGTTAGAGTGCATCTGCCTGAGAGGCGAGAAACCAGCAGTGTGCATATAAATGAGCCAAATATGTAAAATGGATGTACATGCAAAACACAAGATCTGGAAGAAGATCAAAGTCCAGAAGTGGACAAACAACCAGAACTTTCTGCTGGAATTAACAGCAGTGGAATGCTAAGAAGAAAAAGGACAGCCTGTAGCTCTGGTGTGTTGTAGTTTACTTTCATGACTGTATCCCATCTCTCTCCCTCTTTCTCTGAGGCCCAGTCAGTACATATACATTTGTTTATTGTACTGTAATTTTCAGATTCAGTTCCACCTCACCTCCATGGCAGCACAAGTTTTGGAGACAACATTGAGGATGAATGGTTTATTGTTTATCTGCTTTATGAGATCACTAGAGAGTATGCTGGGACTGTTGTCAGGTTGGTCTTTTTGTTAGTCTTTCTAGTGAAAAAACTCTAATTTTTGTTACAAGAATGGAACAGTTGGTTATTTTTTTTAAACTTATGCCAGAGTTTTTAGCTATTCTGGGAGCGATTCTTTTGGTAGCAATTTGTTTTTCATGAAGCCATGACCAATCTATTACAATGTAATAAATTAAGTTGTCGTATATTAACACCCAGCCTAAAATAAATATTCAGTTAAATCCTGGAAAGTGTTGTTGAACACACTACCCACAGAAGTCAGTTAGTCTGTAAACAGAAAAATAGATCTAGCACTATATGCCAGGTACACCCAGGGGGTCTCCATAACAAAGTGGTCAAGCCGTTTGCCACGCACTCTGAAGGTTGTGGGTTCGTTCCACGACTGCATCCTTCAGTTCACGAGTGAAAATCTTACGTAGATTCCTGGGGATCATCGCCGGAGCTATGGAGTGTGTGCTCTGAGCGGCGCTCTCGGCAGGTGGCTATCCGTTCTGTGGAGAGACACCGAGCCATATGGGATAAAACCCGGTGCAATGAAGTCAATCGTCTCGACTTTACTATATATTATTAATATTAGGTAAAATGATTGAATTATTCTTCTTTGTTTACCAGCTATAAGCTGTGGCGAAAAGTCCTGGCTATTCGTCCATTTGGACTTTGGCTTTGTGCCGGGGCCTGAGTTTTGCATGTGCATCTGTTTTACTGGCTTTTTAGTGTGCATTTGGTTGTTCCTTACCACTCGGGCAGATGCACTCCGACTTCGAAGAAAGTCCCCAATTAGTCAACTTCTACGACCTGCTTGTTGGGGAGGCAGTGGGTCTGTTCTAGTTTTCCCCGCAATGGGGCCCCGAAACCCACACGGAGGGATTGAATTCGGCCATTGAATTCAGCGGTCGTTTGCTTTTGAACACAGAGTGTTGATTAGTCTTTAGACAAAAAATAAACATAGGTCTAGCACTATATACCCGGTACACTTAAGGGAGTGGGAAAATGTACTTTACTACGGACATGTCAAACTGAGGGCCATATAGGCCAGATTTGTGTCATCATCAGGACCACACATGACAACTAATTGGAGTCATTCAATAGAACTATTATTATAGAATATTTCCTTTATGCGGACCACAGGTGTGCTACAAAGGGCCACCAGCTATGCTATATATAATTAATATTGGGTGACATGGTTCAGCCATTAAATATTATAATTGCTACTTGTATGTGCACTTCAACCATGAAGTCCATCGCAGCTGGCCGCCAAAGGTGAAGAGATGATCAGACAGTCAATAGAAACTGGTGACCCAACGACACGTAGTGTTACAGGATGATGATGATGTGCACTTCTGACTTTCTTTCAAACATGGGCAACATTTTTTCCCAAGCATTTCATGCCATGCCAATTTCTTTGTTATTCTGTCATTCTCAATTAACTTTGATACTGTTTAGTTTGCCCTTGTAGGCTCTTGTCTATGATTATTTTTAAATTACTTCAAGTCCTGTCTTTCTCATCGTATTGTTATTTTTTTTTTTTTTAACATGTACACATTTTCTGTCATTTTGTCTGTTTACATTTGAAAATATTAACTCACTCATTCGTTAGTAGACTGGATTGACACACAGCATTTTGTGCCTACACACAGATTATTTTCCACCATGCCTGCTGCTCTTTAGTCAACATTTTCTTTATCCTGGAAAGACATTTTAGTCAACATTTTCTTTATCCTGGAAAGACATTTTAGTCAACATTTTCTTTATGCTGGAAAGACATTTAAGTCAACATTTTCTTTATCCTGGAAAGACATTTTAGTCAACATTTTCTTTATCCTGGAAAGACATTTTAGTCAACATTTTCTTTATCCTGGAAAGACATTTTAGTCAACATTTTCTTTATCCTGGAAAGACATTTGAGTCAACATTTTCTTTATGCTGGAAAGACATTTTAGTCAACATTTTCTTTATCCTGGAAAGACATTTTAGTCAACATTTTCTTTATCCTGGAAAGACATTTTAGTCAACATTTTCTTTATCCTGGAAAGACATTTTAGTCAACATTTTCTTTATCCTGGAAAGACATTTTAGTCAACATTTTCTTTATCCTGGAAAGACATTTTAGTCAACATTTTCTTTATGCTGGAAAGACATTTTAGTCAACATTTTCTTTATCCTGGAAAGACATTTTAGTCAACATTTTCTTTATCCTGGAAAGACATTTTAGTCAACATTTTCTTTATCCTGGAAAGACCTATTTACTTAAGAGTTCCCAGCTGTAAATAATAATAGTCTCATCTACATTATTATTTGTTTATTCAACAGATACTCTTACTTACAGCAGGTGATAGGAAGCCCTCGTGTCACATTTATACATGTTCTTGTGTTATAATTATTTCATTCTAACAAAATGCTTTGCTGACTGGTATAGACTGTTAATGTTTATCCCTAGCCTCCATTCTTTAGCAGTAGAGTATTTTTAATCTCTCTCTTCATCAGCGTTTTTAAAACTTTTTTTGCCGTGGTTCCTTTTTCAGGCAAACATTTTCCATTGCACGCCTACACTTAAATCGGTTTGAATACTTAGGAAAAGAGGAAAAACAGTGCAAATTTAATGTTCAGATGTCTTTAATGCGATGAATGAAACTATTTTGAAGAATTATCATTATTTCCTTTGTGTTTATGGGAAGTTTAGTTAATTGTACTCTCAAATCACTTTAAGTCTGCTCCTGTATCTGTTTTTTTTTTTTATGTCAGCGTACGTTGAGAATACACTGCAGCCTTGCCAATAGCATTGTTTTCTGTATACACCTGCATCCAAACTCTTCTTGGCTTCCTTCATCTTATTTCTTTTCTAAACTGATATCTTCGCTAATCTCAAGCAGATTTGGAAAATTTATTGATTTCTGCCACAGTACCCTCTGGCATACGCTCGCGGCACCCATTTTGAGAACCGCTGGTCTATATTATGATGTAAAACTGTCCAGTCTTCTCTCATTGCCTTCTTCTTTTTTGTCTCATTATTGTTCTCACTTATTAGAACATATTTCAGGTGTTTCATCTTATAAATGTGGCTAAACCTATTGACTGTCTCATTCTGATTTTTGTGATATAAATTCATTGTTCATTTTTAAATTAAAGTACACTCATTAATGATTAGGCCTGAATTTTTTTTTATTATTATCCTCAATTCAGCACCAAAATGTGAAAAAGTTACAGCCATTTGGTTTAATTTGGTATGGTTCACAGTACATTTACATTTATATCCATCCTCTGAACAGTTAGTTGTTGGAACATACACTTGCATGTTCTTCACCTGTTGGACTTCCACTAACTGTCCGTACTGACACCATATATGCTAGATTCCAGAATCATTTGTTTACCTATGGATATTCACCCTTTGTGAACTGTTTCGCATCTTATTTGCATATGACCTTATGTGTAAATTTCTGTACATTTACTATTGCATTATGTGTTAACTCATCTTTTATTCTCTCTATAAAATATATAAATAAATATACACACACACACACACACACATATATATATATATATACACACACACATATACACACACACACACACACACATATATATATATATATATATATATATATATATATATATATATATATATATATATATATATATATATATATATGTATATATATATATATGTGCCTGGCTCTCTAGCGTAGTTGGCTAAACCGGATTGCGCGGAGACCGGGTGACGAACTCCTTGTGGTCCGGGTTCAATCCCGGGGGTAGGCAGGAAAGCCACATTTTCTCCCAGATTTACGGTATTTACAATGGAATCAAGGCCGAAAGGTTGCGATATCCATAATACCGAGCCTAAGGGTTAACAACTCATGGCTTCTGGATACTAAAACAAACAACAAACAATATATATATATATATATATATATATAAAAACCATAGTCAATGGGAAAGCTAAAAGCAAGCACACGGGTACAATTGGGAGAAACACATTAAGAGATGGACGAACAGCGGTCTGAGAAAGTGTATACCTAGGATGAGAGATCAGTGAGTTGGAAATCCACTGCAGCAGACCTTCATCGTGAAGAGGACAGCTGATTTAGTGATTTATTTGAGTGTTTACCCGCTGTGAAATATTTTGGATCTTGTATTTCACCGAATGTGTACACTATTGTACAGTTATAGTTGCATTATGCCTTTACTCGAGTTTTATTCTCCCCATTTGTTTTAAATCACTTCTTTTTCCTTTTAATGTGTTTTTAAAAGTGGGGATATGATTTATTGCCAGCTTGTATGCAGCAGTATATATGTATATATATTCATTCATGAAAATTTTGACAGTTGTTCAGTTTCGTTTTGCATGTACATTTTTTCTGTTCATATTATGATTACAAGTGAAAAGCCTGATTTACATACAGTGCTCTGGGTTCTTCTTTTACCACAGGTGCTAAGAAGGGAATTCATGTTAAAGCTCGTTGATATCTGTTAACCAATATTTAATTCAAGCCGTCTCAGCTTAACTTTTGAGTACTGGGGGGCTATTTTTTTAATTTAATTGTTGAAAACAGAAAGCCAATCATCATGTCTTGTAATGTATAAAATCCTTTCCGTTTTTCTGTGTTCTGTGTTTCTGTGTTTCTTTTTTATTATTATTTTTTGTTGGTAATAATTTTCTAAATGTCTCCTGTTTTTTAAGAGTGTATTATGCCAGTTTAGTTTTGAAAAAGAAATATTAGTGTACTAGATTGAAGCAAAAAGCCCTAAGTACCAAGAAAACAAAATAGTTCGTTAGGCGGGGACAAGAAACAGAAATATTCTAGCCCAGACAAGAGATCTTCTGTGTAAAATTTAGTCAGCCAAGCAACAAATAAACTAGGCACACTAACCAAAAGTCCTGATCTGAACCAAGAACAACTGGAACATCTGTTTATTTCACTTAACATAAAATCAGCGTGGTTCACAAATAACAACATTAACAACAACCAATGTGCTTGATCAGAGGCGGAATCACCTCTAGCTAACAAGGAAATATGATAATGACACCATACGCTCAGCAAGATTACCTCAACAATGGCAAAAACCGAAAGATATTTAACACGTACGTTAGGCTTCAATATGCCACCAGACCAACAAATCACTTACAGCGACCTGCCATCAAACTACCTCCTAGCGAGGATGCACAATGGAAATCAAATCTAACACCACCTAAACAAATGAAACCATTGCGCGAGCCAGTCTAGCATCGCTTAGCCAGTCTGATCTGACACACCTGTGCATTGAGACTAAGTGCAGTCAAACAATGGCAGACAGGGCGTCTGACCATACCAAGCCGACTACAGAGCAACAGCCAAATAGGCCGCTAAAAGGCTAAGCAAGGTCTTTAATTAACTTATGGCTGGCCAGTTTTCTTCGGCTTACCGTCTAAAACTAATAGCTGTTCCTCCTGCCAGACAAAGCAAAATTGTTCTTGGATTTCTTTACTGTCGTATCTGGTATTTATATTTTTGTAATTTGACTGAAGTGACGTCCTTTATTATAAACAACTCACTCATTATCTAATATGTATTAGTAAACTGTTAATGATGTTGTTGTTAATATTATGTTTGAGATTTCTACCAGTATTTTGTATATTTTAGTATTAAGTTATCTAACAGACTTATACTTGTACAGTTTATAAAATGTTATCTCTCATGCAGAATCAACTATGAAATGGCAAATTTTGTCTGTTCCCTCTCTGGGACTTAAAATTGATGGTTAAACATGCAATGGCTCAAAGAGAAGCTGAGTTGACATTTGTTTTCTTGAAGGTGCAGATCACCTTCATCTGTTCCTGAGCTTCATAAAATGAGTCAGTAACTAGTAAAAGTAGAAGAAGAAAAAGGATAGATACTTGCAGTATTCTCTTATTTAAGTTTAGGACACTGGTTCTCAATTAGCAAAGATGAATGGACATATCTTATGTTTGAAGGTCTGCCCCCTTTGTATCAGTCAATCTTTTTAAAGAAGCAAATTTGAATTAAAATGGCAACAACAAAATGTTCTCATTCAAAAGGTGAGAGCTTTTTTTTTAATATTTTGTTTTTTGTAAATGATATCATGGACCCCTAAATTTGTTCTTTGGACCTGGGTTCTATACGGGAATCACTTGTTCAGGGTTTAGACTTGTAGCTTGAGGAACAGAGAAGGTTCATTGGGCTTCAGTCAAAGATTTACTTTTTGTTGTAAAGATATATTTATAGGTGCTTCGGTTTTCTCCCGTATATCCTGCTAGGAGAATTTCAGCTCAGCCTACAAGCTCAAAATCTCTGGCAAGTGTGATATCTGACCCTGCCTTTACCGCCTGTATTTACAGTAAAGAACGGGGTTACCGTGGGATGTATGGTTAGTGCAGTCACTGTGAACTGCAGGTTGATTTGATTTGATTCAAGAACCGACATCACAGCACTCAGGGCATTCTCATAAGCGCTCCGTCCCCATCTTTAGCAGCCAGCAAAGAGTTCCAATACTAATGGCGCCAGTAGCAGTCTGATTAAATGTCCGTCTTGCCTTTCCTCTGAGCCTCGAGCATCTGCCAGAACCTCTCGTCACTCCCCGCAGCATCATTCTCACCAGACTGTGGTGATCCATCTGTCCTCCGAACTGTACACGCTCTCCCACAAGGCACTAACCACGTTTGCCTTATCATATTTCAGTATTCCACCAAGTTTTGCAGAGCCAACCAGTCTGTCCGCTTGTTCATTCGCCAACACACTGGTGTGCCTGGGTGAAAAAATCCAAACAATACTCCTCACCCGTGTCCTCCGCAGTGAAGCATGCCACTCTGCACAAAGCATGTGAACTGCAGGTTAGGATTGTTATTTTTTCCACAACAGAAATCTCCATCCCTTACTGGGGATTGAGCTTCTCTTACCTGCCTTAACTGTGTTTTTGTTGCTAGTAATCTCATGGGGTCACAAATGGTAAGAAAGTTTTTTTTAAGGCACTTTCTTATTATCCGACCACAAATAGGGTAAATCCACAGGTCACAGGACAGTCCTATATTTCAGGGGATGGTGGATTAAGCGTATAGTTTTTTAGTTTGGTTGCTGTTAAGGGTTAGGTAAATGCGCGAAAACCTTGGCCTTGGAATTAATGCGCTAAAGCACAGAAAAAAAAACAGAAAATCAGACTTCAGAGAAAACTTATTTGATTCGTTATATTCTTGTATCCTGTAGGGTCAATGATAATGATGAGGAGTTTCTCCTAATAGAAGCTGCAAACGAGCTTCCAAAATGGCTGAACCCTGAATCTGCTGAAAACAGAGTGAGTATAAAAGATTATCTTTTACATGATTTTCTTATTTAAAAAAAAAATTTTTTTACATACACATTCTCTTCCTTATCCACCTCCTTCTTTTTTTTCTTATATCTTCCAATGTGATATTGTAAAAAGAAAAAGAAAAAACATTAATATAAAGGACCCTTTTTACACTAGTGGCCCATAGGGCATATAATGATAGACTTAGTCCCTGGGTTCTCCAACTCCATTATGAGAGGGGAAAATATAGACCCACTGCTCCCATAATAAGCATATTGTGAAGGGCGGCTAATTAGGAGCGTGTCTTTTAAAATCTGAACACATATTCCTGAGAGGCAAGAACCAACAGTCTGTGTATAAATAAGCCAGAAGAAGACCAAAGTCAAGAAGTGGATAAACAACTAGAACTTTCCGCTGGACTTTACAGTGACAGTTTAAAACGAAGAAGGTAGATTCATACTTTTAAATAGCCATGTTGGTCTTGGGGCCCCATTTTGGGGAAAACCAGAATAGGCCCATGCCTACCCAGACATTTGTCATAGTCAACTAATTGGGAGCTTTTTTCAAAGTCAGAGTGCATTTGCCTGAGAGGCAGGGAACCTGCAGTCTGCAAACAGATAAGTCACATCTGTAAAATGGATGTGCAGACAACACTGAGGTTCTGGAACAAGACTAGAGTTGAACAACCAGATTTTTCAGTTGGGGTAAACACGAAGAAGAAGAAGAAATTTGTATAAACCACTTGGCTGGCTGTCTTTACCTCCCATGATATTACCTGATAACCCATTTTAGCCTGGGTAAACTTGAGAGCCAAGGGTCAGTTTTGATGAAAAAGTCGGACTCAACACAGATTCCAGCTCAAGCTATAGGCCAGCGTGCAACCAGCTAGCCACTAGGCTACAGTGACTCCCGACAGGAATATTGGCCATCACCCAACTCACATCTCATCTTCTGTAGACCTGTAGATGATTGGTTGGATTTTGCAGCTGCAGCTTTCTATGAGTTAAGATAACCAGTTTCATACCAGCTCTCCTGAATCACCTCTTATAACATGCATGGTAGGTTATAGTGTTATTCTTCGCTTCCTTTACAGAAGCTAGTAACGCTTGATGTTGGAAATATGATCATCATCATCACGTGCCTTGTCAGCAGGTGTAGGTGTTCATACATCTCAACAGATCTCGGTCTTCTGTGTTCTTGATCAATTCCACTGATGATATTCCTCCAGGCCACTGTCTTAAGCCATCCACCATCATTTCTCTTGTTCTGCCTCTGCCTCTTCTACCAGTGATCTTGCCAGTCATCACAGTATTTTCCAGTGCTCCTTTTCTCATCACATTTTGGAATTATGATGCTAGCTATCAATTTATATAGACGAATTGACACTCGAGATGTGATGTTGCCAATGACACATGACCACCTTTACTTGCCAAAATATTTACTTGTATTTTAGGTTCGAAGCCCCTAAACACGGAGCACCCTAAACACCGAGCACATTTGAGAAAAAAGAAATACCTGCCACGGTTGGAAAGGGTTTTATGTGGGTAATCAGTCAGTCTATTAAGTGCCGTATCCACAGTGACGGTTGACCACAGAAAATCTCCCAACAGTCTCTCTCATATTTTTATAGACCAGTGTGCACTCAGTGGGTGATGTCAAAATACACCAACAAATACCTGAGATAATTAACAAAATCACAGTAGAATAAAGGAAATTACTTTGTATTACTGAATCATTAACTGTTGCTAGAGAACTTAGCAAATTGCAGTGAATCAGTAGGTGATGAAAATAGACTGGCATTGGACACACTGAGAAAGCCTGGCAACAATATAAGTCCTTGCACTGGAACCCAAGTTGTCAGAGGAATCTTCTTCTTTGTTCACCTGCTGTAAGCTCTGGCGCAGTCCTGACATTTCGTCCATTTGAACTTCGGCTTTGTGCCAGGGCCTGAGTTTTGTATGTACATCCATTTTATTGGCTTATTTGTGTTCACTAGGTTGCTCCCTGCCGCTTGAGCAGGAGCACTCTGACTTTGAAGGAAGCCACCAATTAGTTGACTCCATGCTTGTTAGGGAAGCTGTGGGTCTCTTGTTTTCTCCACAGTGGGGCCCAGAAACTCACACGGGGAGTTCAGAGGAATGAAGGTTGGACCTACACGCACGCATGCGCACATACACGCGCGCATAGAAGAGAATTAGAGAATACATCAAACAGATGGGAAGAACATTGGGTAAGCTGCACGTAATAGCAGGGATGGAACATCTTGATGGTAGAATGGTTTAGGACAGGATCCATAGTTCCATACTTGTATGTCAAGGGCAGATAAAGAAAAGTAAGGAATCAAGGTATGGTAGATTGTTCCATGTAAAATATGTTCTGAATTTCACTTTTTGTTTTCTTGGTTGTCTCCTCAGGTGTATATCTATAATGGAGACTTGCATGTGATCCCCATCCCCCAGACAGCTGAAGAATCGTCCAGGTATCCCTTGTTCACGCCAACAGTGGCAGAAGCTGTTGCTTGTGTTCGAGACTGCGCCTGTGAGACCAGATGTTCTCAGGCAGTTCAAAATATGCTCAACAAAAGATTGTCTTGGTTAGTTGCTGTTTTATTTATGCAACTTTTTCTGTCGTCTGGGCTGAGGGTGTGATGAATGTAGTTTTATAATTCCTACTTACCAGATTTTTGGCAGTTTGGTCGGAGTTAGCTTTGCATTTAATTTTCTTCTTTGTTTTCACAAGGTGCAAACTCTGAAAGTTCTGGATGGTTGTCCACTTCTTGACTGAGGTTTTGTTACAGAGCTTGAATTTTGTGTGCACATTTGTTTTACAGATCTGGCTTATTTGTGTGCAGACTTTTTTCCCACTTGCCTTTCAGGCAGATGCACTCTGACTTCATAGGAAACGCCCCTGTTTAGCTGCCTTGTACAACAGAAAAAAAATGAGGCCCTGGAACCTAGCACGGGGAGCACTGAATTTGAGTAGCCCTCGAGTATCAGTGGCAGAATGTGAACATGCTTAGTAAAACCACAGACATCAATAAACACTGAGGTTCGTTTGCCATGCCCTGAAAAGAAAAGCAGTTCCCCCTTCCCCCCTTTTTTGGGTAAATAATAACTTTGAGTCCCAACCAGCACTGCATGTGTGAAAAGCTGTTGACCTTGTGCGATGCGTTCCCATGCATACTATAGAAATCTGACCACCAGGAATGCTGTTACTTAGGGGGTCGGGTACTTTGATCCCCTCCCCGCTGCCCCGCCAATTCTTTAAAAAAAAAAGTTGAGGGTGCTGAGCCAGCCAGTAATTTTTAAGGACGCTTATTTAGAAAATTAGTTGGAGGAATACGTGTAGGTGTTTTTAATTAATTTATAATTTTGTTTTCATACATTTTGTATTATTTCACATATATTTTTTTTCCACTCAGAACATAATAATAAATGAGACATGAGTCCTCACCCCCAGAAAATTAAAGGAGTGCTTAGGCCCCCTCAAGACTGTTTTCTTTGTGTCTATGCTCCTGCTGACCACTTATTTCACAGTACTAATAGTACATGTTTTAAATGTCTTATGTTACATTCCTCTATGGAAGTAATGTTTGTATGCTTTATTCATTTAGGGTTGTGCCCGTAAGACATCAACTATAAAAACATTCTGGGACTGAAAGAGTTAAATACATATGCTGTGGTTGAATAGTTAGACTACACCTTTTCCTCGGCTCACGACCTATGTGACTTAGACCATATGCACTTACAAAAATAGTAAATAAAGAAAGATAATTACATTGTTAGGGTTACAAAATTTCAGGAACTACTGCAATAGAATACTATAATGTCACATTATGTACAGTATTTTTCGTACCTGGATTAAAATTTTGTTAAAAACGATTTTTATAACTTTGAATAAAAATAATGTTGAAATATATAAACTCTACAGTTCAATTTATGACATAGTCAAAATGGAACTTGGTCTTTTAGTCCTATATATGAGTTTAGTGGGAATAACATCCTACTGGACAACATAGGATGTCCATAACTAGCACACAGAGAAAGTAAATAAAATGGAAGAATCTGTTCAGAATTACAGCTTATAGCGCAAAACAGCAGAGTTAGTGGCACGTAAGAAGTGTTTTCAGGTCACGGTAGAGAATGTGGCTGGAGGAAGCTCTTCTATTTTGAAAGACCAGTGGTGACACAAAACATACCAGAGGGAAAAGTGGAAGGCAATTGAGCAAAAGTAGACAGTGATAAGTGAAAAGATAACACCAAGAGGATGACCTGACTTTATTTTTAAAGAGTCATAAATTAGGCCTGCAGGCATATCTTCCACTCGGCCCTTCCAAATACCTATCTTCCACAAAGTACTTGTATTTTATCTAGGGCTTTTTTATTTTGCCGGTACTCACCACAGCATCTGAAAGTGCTGACAAACAGTAATGCCTAAAACAGTGCCAGTGCTCGGTACCACCAGAAAAATCCCTGTTTTTTGTATAAAGTATGTCACATTTATTAAGCAATATACATAAAATGAGTATTAAGTATAAAAAAAAACCCACAAAAGCATGAGTGGTAAATGCATGCATACATACCCATATGCCCACACACACAACCAAACGTACGTACATTTATGCATACACATGCACTGAATAGCTATCAGGATGAGAAACACAAAGTTTGAAATCTGTTACAACCAGCCTTCATTGTATAGACCCATTTGATTGATCTATTCAAGGTGTTAACCAAAAAAATACTGTGTATACCTGTGCCAGATTTGGACATTGCCAAAGGCCTACCTGAAATTAACACCTGTGCCATAAGATAGTTACTAACTGACCATCCATGACAGAAAAGGAGAAGTGATACCGTCAAGCAAACTGTGGGAACAAGAGCTTGCACCAGATTCATTGAGAAGCTGAAGATTAAATGGGTTAGTCATCTAATTAAAATGCAGCCACAGCTGTCGTCATTACATCTAAACAGATCTAATATGAGAGCCAGAGAGGATGAATTGATAATGTTATAGACATACTGGAATTAGAATTGCCAGGGTCGCTCATCAAGCAACGGACCACAAACTGTTCTTCCACACAGCATTTAGCGACAAAAGTGAAAGGTGACGATGAGGACACCTAAATAGCAGTAGGCGAAAAAAACTTCTGTGTTTAGTTCAAATAAATTGGTTTAACATTTTCTTTTTATCTGGAAAATACATTTTCAAATTAAAGCTACTTATCTATATTCCCAATAACAGTTTTCCTAGAAAGACTGCAGAGAGCATCCACCGGGTGAACTGTTATTTGCCAACCCCACTAGCGGTTCTCCTGGCAGACCAGCCTTCACTGGTGTCTGCAGGGGTCAGAAGTTTCTATTACAGAGATCCTCTAGAACTTAAAGTAAGTTGGTCTTTCCATTCTTAATCATCAGCAAGTGCTTTAAATTTGTGCGAATCATGAGTCATATGTGAAACGGACTGGTGCTCTTTGAGCATAGTCTGATTCAGCTAACTGAGAACAAGAGGCACAAGTATAAAATGCAGTCTCTTGCTGCGGGACCTGCGTCATCTGAGAGGGTTTGACATTTTGACAGAGATTGTCACTGTCCATCAGATTATATAGCCACCAGCAATGCCGCCGGGCGCCTGCCCACTGGCACACTTGGATAGTGAGCAGGACTGAGAAGAGACCTGCTACTGTTTAATTTGTATCATTTGTTTGTAACATTCATTTCTGTATCTGATTTCCCAGTGTGGGTTCCAGAACTTCACTTTGAAGAACACAAAATATACCAACTGCCTCACTAATGAGCGTGTCATAGGAGGCTACTAAATTAAGGGTATTTTCTTCATAATCTCTTGCATCTGCCTGAGTGGCAAGCAGTCAGCAGTCTGCATACAAATAGGCCAGATCTGTAAAATATTTGTGAATATATTTCCAAAGATATACCGTCACCAACAATCCAAGCTGGAGTGGATCCAAATTCAGGACCTCTGTGGGTGCATTAGCCACCACACTACCACAATCCCTTATGCGCTGGATATTCTTCTTGCTCAGTGCTCACTCTCAAAAAGGTTGTTGGCATGTTGTGTTATGGTTTAGAGCTAGGTTGAGAAATCTGCTCGTTTCGGCCCAACACATCCAAATTTAACATACTGCTCCTTCATCACCTTTTACAGCATTTATTTTTTGTTTGTTTTGAAGACAGCGAGTCTTCCTTATCCCCGCTGCCCACTGGGGTCCCAGAATGCATATGGAGATGTGCTTGATTTAAGAACTTTAAAAACATCTTTTTCTACTTCAGCATTCCGAGCCCTTGAGGATCATTGCTGCAGATATCACCACCCTCAGCTTATCTCTCTGGTTGCCTTCTCTTTCCAGTTGGTAACATCAAGTGTTTGCAGGTCTGTCTGGACATTATCTCTCCATCATCTTCTTGGTCTACCTCATGGTCTATGACCATTCAGCTCCCTTGTGTATAGTTTTTACTTCTCTGTCATCTGACATTCTCTCAATATACCCCAGCCATTTCAGCCTATTAGCTCTCATGATGCCAGTGATCAATGGTGATTTAAACAGATTATGAATTTCGTTGTTGCTTCTCACTCTCCATTCCCCGCTGTTTACATCTTTGATAGGCCCACAGATTTGTTGCAATACTCTATTTCTTAAAACCTATTATAAGCCTTTATCTCTTTTGGTTGTGCTCAGTTTCAGACCCGTAATAAAAAAAGTGACTGGTCTTATCAGTGTTTTATATATTCTGATCTTGGTGTTGCGAGATAGAGACTTTGACTTTAGCAGATGTTGAAAGGCATAGTATAATTTATTTCTAGATTGTATTTCTTTTCTCAGCATGTTGGATCAGTTTAAGTTTGCACCCATTTACTTAATATATTTCTGTCAATTGATTTTTATATTCTCAACTTGTATGTGGCCAGAGTTTATATATCTTTCCCCAGTCTTGTTATTATTGAGTATTCTGTCTTATCTTGACTGAAAACATGTCTGAATTAAATGATTCAATGTTTACCTTTTTATGAATTTAAAATGAGAAAGTGTGCAATTAATTAAATGTTCATTTCTTATCGCTCTTAGGCTTGTCGTCCCATGAAGAGATTCAAACCTTCTGATCTTGTCAGAACAAGAGTAAGTTAGAATTTTTTTCTTTAGTTAAATATTTATGAACACTAGTTATAATCTCGACTTTGGTCAGTCTGGTTTGAAATTAAAATGTGAAGTAAACAAAAACATTTGACAGCATGAAAGATGAAATAGTCAAACTGCTAAAACAGTTCAACATTGATAGTAAAGATCTGCAAAAAATAAACTTATAGTGCAGAAGATCTGCAAATAATAAACTTACAGCTCAGCAAACTTTGTCTTCTTTGTCCACTTCTGTTTTTCTTCCTTGGCTGCTTCTGCTTCTTCTTACTTCTCTGCTTCTTCTAATTTATCTTTCTCCCCCCCCCCCCCCTTCCCACCTTCTCTGCTTTTTTCCTGCTATTCCTCTCCTCTTCTTCTTCGCCTGCTGCTTCAGCTGTTTCCTTTCTCTCCTTCTCCATTCTTGCTATTTTTGCTTCACTTTTGCATTTTATAGTTCCGCACACTTATAAGGATTCATATAGAAAATATGCTATTGGTGGTATTAATATAAACAGCTTCCTTTATATTGAGGAACCATCTTGATAGCAGCAAGTTGGAATAACCACACAGAATGATAGGTTTACATAAAGTGAGGAAAAAATTTACCCAGCTTAATAACAGGACAACAGAAGTAGTGAAATATCAAAGAAACTGATCATGTAAATTAAAAGTATTGTATTAACTGGACTAGTATGCTACCTGTCGTCCTAGTGTTCTTTATTTAATTTCCCTTTGAGCCGAGGATTGAAAAGAAAAGAGGGACTCGCCATTTGTTCTGTGGTGACCTTTTGTATCTTGGTTTTATTTCTAATGTTATCTCTTCTGGTCACTTCCACAACTTTTCTCAGACATCCCATTTCCTGGATTAATAATATTTGTACCTGAATTGTGAGTGACCATGTGTGGCACTGGTAGCATATGGTGGGTATCAATATATCTGAACGACAGGCACGATCAGTTTTTAGTCATGGCAAATTGTTTGCTTTAGATAGATGGTGACTGTTGCATTTTCCTCCACTTTTAGACTGAAAGGATATAGTTTGTCACCAAGCTGTTGAGTGTGTAGTGTGACACTGTGAGCTGCGGCTTTAATTTATAATTTTTTTTTTTACTGTGATCAATGTGGTTTTGCGAACTGTAAATTCAGAAAATGGCGAGTGGCCTCTTGCTACAGATTTGTGGTGCCTTATGTAATTAAAATTGATCGTATGTGCATCTGCTAATTTGTTTCCATTGATGATGAACTGCATTTCTAATGTCAGACTGTGTGTGTTAGCACTTCTGATGGCTGCCTCACATGTGTATGCTGAAACTCAGATTACCAGATATCTATAATCAGAACCTGTCCTAAATCATTTGTGTTTGTGAGGTCACTATAAAAACACCAGCTGTACCCAGCCACATGTTGCTATTGCTCACTCTGGCTAAATAGAAAAGAAAGAAAATAGTCTAATATGGTTAATTTCACATTGCGCAGATGTAGATATAGTCTGGTTTGCCGACTCTAGAACATGCAACATGCAATTGTGTCTTTATATTAGTGGTTTTTTAAATTGTATTATTAAGACTTTAAAAAATAGTTATTTGTGTCTTCTTCTTCTTCTGCCTTTCTATCCCCCAATGGAGCATAGGCCCTCAACCAACTCACGCCAAGTCGTTCTATCCTTCGCCATTGCATGGAGCTCTCCCCATGTCCTCCCAATCTTTCTAACCTCGTTCTCCAGCTCTCTTCTCCATGTGTTTTTTGGCCTTCCTTTATTCCTATGCCCCTGTGGGTTCCAATGCAAAGACATTCTAGTAATGTTCTCCTGTTTTCTCAGTGTGTGCCCTATCCAACGCCAGCGTCTTTTCCTCACTTCCTGATCCACTGGAGCCTGTTTAGTTCTCTCCCAAAGTTCTACATTAGTTATTCTATCATACCATTTTATTCCCTCTATTCTGCGCAGACACCAGTTAATGAATGTCTGTAATTTATTAGTAATTGCCTTGGTTGTTCTCCATGTTTCCGCCCCATACAATAGTACTGATTTGACATTAGAATTAAAAATTTTTAGTTTAGTATTTCTTTTAATTTCTTTTGACCTCCACAAATTCCCTAGTGCTATGAAAGCCCCTCTTGCCTTTTGTATTCTTATTTTAATATCTCTATCAGTTCCTCCATCTTTATCTACATTACTGCCTAAATAGGTGTACGACTCCACGTCTTGGAGTGGGGTGCCATTAAGAGAAACCACATTACTATTTGCCTGATTTATTCTCATTATCTTTGTCTTTCCTTTATGGATTTTCAGACCAAGCTGCTTTGATCTCGCATTAAGTATATTTAATTTATCTTGCATCTGATTCCGTGAATGGGACAGAAGAGCAATATCATCAGCGAAGTCCAGATCATCAAGCTGTTTTGTAGGGGTCCACTGAATTCCATTCTTGGTGTTAGCAGTTACTGTTTTCATAGTCCAGTCTATAGCCAGTAAAAATAAGAGAGGCGACAAAAGACATTCCTGTCGCATACCTGTTTCTATTTCAAATGCATTTGTTAGCTTTCCCTCATGAAGAACTCGACATTTCATGCCTTTATATGTTGCCTTTACTAAGTTGATAATTTTCTGTGGGATTCCATAGTGCCCCATCAATTTCCAGAGAGATTCCCTATCTATGCTGTCAAATGCTTTTTCATAGTCTATAAATCCAATGTAAAGTGGTGAGTTCAGTTCAATGCTTTGCTCTATTATAATACGTAATGTGGCTATCTGATCAGTACAGGATCTGTTTGACCGAAAACCTGCCTGCTCATCTCTTAGCATTTTATCAATAGCATCTTTTAATCTTTCCAAAATAATTCTACTTAATATTTTTCCAGGAACTGACAGCAACATAATTCCTCTATAGTTTTCACACTCCTGTAGATCACCTTTTTTGGGCAGTTTCACAAGATATCCTTCTCTCCAGTCTGCTGGTATTTCTTCGGTCTCCCAGACTTTACTGAATAATCTATGTAGCAATTCTGTTGATGTGTTTATGTTGGCCCTGATGGCTTCAGCTGGGATACCGTCTGGGCCTGTCGCCTTTCCTTCCTTGAGAAGATTTATAGCTTTCCTAATTTCCTCTTTGGATGGTATCTCACAGTTGATATCCAGTTCCATTTCTAAAGGCTGGATATCTGGGGGAACCTCTGGGCCTGGTCTATTTAGAAGCATTTCAAAATATTCAACCCATCTGTCCATTTGATCTTTAGTGTTAGTAAGTACCTTTCCTTGACTATCTTTGATTGATCCAGTTGGCTGACTATATTTACCTACTAATTTTCTTGTGTTACTGTAAAGTTCTCTGAGGTTTCTTTTTGCTGCTGCTGTCTCTGCTTCTTGTGCTAGATCATTTAGATATTTCACTTTATCTGCCCTTATATGTCTCCTAACTTCCTTGTTGGCTTCTGTGTATTTCTCCTGAGCTCTAGCTTTAGCAGCTCTAGTTTTGCTATTGTTTAATTCTGCCTTTTTACTTTTCCTATCTTCAATCAGTTTAATGGTTTCAGGTGTTATCCATGCTTTATGTTTCCTTTCTCTCTTGCCAAGAACTTCTACGCAAGATTCATTCCAGATTCCTTTGATCTGATCCCAGCAGACTTCTGTGTTGACATCTTCAGCTAACTGCTGCAACACCTGGTACTTATTAGAGACCGTAACTGAGAACTGTTCCTTAATTTCTTTATCTCTGAGAAAGCCTACATTATATTGGTTTCTATGATTATAAGATGTTATATATCTTTTTAGTTTCAACTTGATTTTACTTACCACCAGGAAATGGTCAGTAAATACATCGGCACCTCTGAAAGCCCTAACATCGTAAAGGGATGATCTAAACTTTTTGTTAATACATATGTGGTCAATTTGATTAGTTGTCTTATGGTCTGGTGATTCCCATGTTGCCTTGTGTATACTTTTATGGGAAAAAATACTTCCACCAATAACATACTGGTTACCTGCACAAAAATTTGTGAACAGTTCTCCATTTTCATTCATTACTCCTAGACCTTGTCTCCCCATAATTTCTTCATAACCTGTGTTGTCTGATCCTATCTTAGCATTCAAGTCACCCATCAAAATTTTTAAGTTGCCCTTTCTTTCATTATTTATAATATTTTGAAGCTGCATGTAAAATTCTTCCTTAACAGATGCATCTTTATCATTTGTTGGTGCATAACACTGTATTACCGAGATGTTCACCTTCTGTTTAACTGTTCTAAAAGATGCTCTTATTATTCTGGGACTCACAGCTTCCCATTCTATTAGTGCCCTGTCTGCTTCTTTTGATAGCATCAGGGCCACTCCCTCACTGTGCGGCGAATTTTCCTCTGTGTGTCCTGAGAACAAAATAGTTTCTCCTGAATTTAGAATACTTTTCCCTGCCCCAGTCCATCTAGTTTCACATAACCCTAACATACTAATTCTATAATGCTTCATTTCCCTTGCTACTTCCATTGTTCTCCCTATATCATAGAGAGTTCTAACATTCCAGGTGCCAATTCTGGAGGTTTTCCTAGCTGAGAGGAGGTACGTCAACGATCCGGACTCCTTGCGGCTTTCTCCACACCGTGTCATACTTCTTCTATTTGAAGAGCCTTCCCTCATCTTGGTTGGCTGGATTTTATTTGCTTCTCTTTTTGACTTATCCATGGTTGGTTGGTTTTTGTGGCTATGGTTTTTACAGGATGAGGTAGCCAACCTCAAGCCCAACCCTACCCTTAGTCGCCTCTTACGACATGCCTGGTAGGGTGCAGTGTCACTATTCTTTGCTTCCCGTGAGGGCCCCGGTGACACACGGGCGAGTTATTTGTGTATCACATGCTAAAGCTTTTTTTTTTTTCAACTTCTGTAGTTCTAAATAACCAACAAATTTGCTATTTTAAAAAAAATGTTTTTTAGATTACCTGAGGTAGCGTTATTAAAATATAAATAATTTTAAAAAATGGGAACTTTAAAATCATGTTTTATGCTCTCTCAGTTAACAATATCTGTCATCACCCCCCCCCCCCTATCCACCGACTACCACTCTATCCCTCTCCAAAGGATTTGAAATTCATCACCTGGTGATATTTTTTTTTATATTGACCTTGGCATCCCTGTCCACCCAGACTAAAATAGGTAGCAGGAATTGTAATGAGAAGTAAACAGGACTAGTGTAATTTTTACCACATCACCCATCCAGTGCCAGTACTACTGTTACTTCCAGCGGCGGCACCGCATCAACTAAAAAACTGTCACTACTGTCTGTTTTACCACCTTTTTAGTTCGGTTTAGACGACATAGATTGTACAGGTTATGATGTTTAATTTTTCCCACAACAGAAAAACTCTATGACCTTAATGTAGGTCAAACTCGGGTCTCCCGCATGACAGCCGACGATGTAACCACTCTGCCAACCACAACAACTATCCTGTTACTACAACCACTGCAGCTACTTTGAGCAGATTAATCTTGTGGGCAAGGTGGTTATTGTGACTTCCCCAAAATGGGCAGTAGTGATGTCATTAATCTCAAGTGAGATGCATGAGCCAAAGAAAATCTAGTCGAGAGTGGTGGATATGGGAGTGCAGCCTGGAGCAGCTAAACTATAACATTTCACAAAGGGCAAGAGTTGTCTGATTAATCACCACAGATCAGGCATCATTAGTTTTTGTTGTGCTTGTGGAGCTATCAAGGAAAAGATCTGAGAACCTAAGGATCTGTCTGGAATGCTGTGATGATAGTCCTCACTAATCAGTAATCTGTCATTCCCATATCTTTTCATTCCCATACAGTCTTTCAACACATCTTTTTTTCTTTATTTCAACAACTCTTCGTTCTCATAACGAAATAAAAAGTTTGCCTACAACCTGTGCCATGAACACGGCAAAAAAAAAAATCATATCTCTGGAAAACCAAGATGCTAATGTAATCGTCGCTGAAGCTATGTAGTTCGGGCTTTGTGCGATGCTCTTATGTAAAAAAAAAAAAAAAAACAGGCGCGTATTCTAATGCAACACAGTGTCAAAATTTGAAAGCAGTTGGTGAAGAACTTTTGGGATACAGCTTCATGCAGATTTCTAAGGTCAATAATCAAAGTTTGCCTACCAGCAGGAAAAAACCCTGTGCCTGGAACGCGGCAATGAAAAAAATTGGGTTTTCGGAAAACAAAACCAAGATGCTGGTAAGATCGCTTCTGGAGCTGTGTAGTTCATGCTTTGTACGACACTCTTATATAAAAATAAAAAAGCGCGTATTCGAATGCAACGTTGTGTGAAAATTTCAAAGCGATCGGTGAAGAACTTTCCGAGATTATCGATTAGCCACAAACATTAACATTTTTATTTATATAGATTGTGTAAAAAGAAATAAACAAGTGTGATATTAGTTTTCTCCAAATCTTGTAACTTATTTTTCTGATTGTTTTGGCTGCTATGATTACAGGTAAAAATGACACGGTGTCTTTATGCCCAGCTTGTGCAGCAGCAGTTTATACCAGACAGGTCCAGTGGATGGCCAGTGATAGCACCCAGCAACCCACAGTATTCTGAACAGGATGTTGGGATGAAGCTGGTACAGACTGCTTGTTGTATTTGTTTTTAGTACTTGTGATCCTGAGTGTCTTTCTATGAGTGTTTTGTCTGTCTTTGTTTATTTATGCTTTTTATAAATGTTTATTGATTTTTTTCCATAAATTTTTACTCATTATTAGTTTTTGAATATTAAAGATTTTGTTGAGAATGAAATCACGAAATCAGACAAATGCTAGGAATAAAACCAGTCTTACAGGTCATCAATGAACAACAGATGAAGTTGTTTGGTTATCTAACAAGTATAGAGCGAGCGGAAGACCTCGGAAAATATGGAGTGATGGCATTAAGAACAGCCTTACAGAAATGAACATCATTCTTAATAGGGCTCTTGACAGAGCTCATCAAGGAATGTTACATCTCCCCCCGACACATCGCTGAGGTACAAGGTGGAAGAAAAAGAAGAAGTTAAGAACATTATGGATAAATGTATTTTAAAAAGTATTTATACCCTGCACACAAGAGCAGAACACTACAGACAACTGTGGATAGGTGTGAGCAGGAAGCTTCATTACAAGTACAAGTGCTGAAACACTTGTTGATGATGATGCACTAACTTCATTATAATAATAATATACTATTTTTTTTAAATTAAAACCGATGAGTTATCCAATGGCACATTTTTATTAGTGGACGGGAAAGCCTATATTCCTCATATCTGTTGATGACCTAGATGCAAAAGAAATGCCAGTTGATTTGTTGAACCCTAAGTTATTCTTTTGTGCCATTTGAACACTTCCGCTCATTAAATTACAAACATTTTTAATATCAAAATTATTTTCCTTTTAGTAGCTATCATCACCATCATGTAGCAGGTCCTTGGCAGAACATCGCTGTCATCAGGGTCTGCCCGAAAGAAATTCGGTCTCTTTCTAGCTCTCCCGCCTCATGTACTTTCATATTCAAGGTGTCACTTATATCCTGTGCCCATCTTCGTGTTGGTCTCCCCCTGCCCCTCCTTCTTGGTACTATGTCTTCTGCTGTTATTTTTTAAAATCCACTTTGGCACTTAATATGATCAAAATATTTCAGCTTCCGAGACAGGATGCTGTTTATTAGCCATTCTTCCTTGATGTTCAGATATTTTAAAATGTCGGTATTTCTTCTCTTCTTTGTCCATGGTATTCTGAGAATCTTTCTATAGCATTTCAGCTCAAAAGCCCCTATTTTCTTTCTTAACGATGGGGAGATAGTCCACGACTCACATCTGTATATTGCTACAGAGAAGATGCATGCTCTCAAAATGTTAATTTTGATTTCCTTGATGGTGCTTAACCATAGACTCTTAATGCTCAGTTGTAAATGATGAGCCAAAGTTTACCAAGAGGGTAGGATTCTTCTTATGCACTTGACAGGAGTTGACTTTTGGCATTGCAAGTGATTGTTTATCTTTCAGAGGTTAAACATCCTGACTAAAAGAACTGACAACCTGTCGCACTAGCTCGGCTGGTTAAACCTGACTACACAGCGACCGGGTCCGGGTTCACGCCAAAAGGTTAAGAACTAATAGTTTCATGATATTTAAAAAAAAACAAAAAACTGGCAACATTGATAGTGGAACTGGTCTGCTTTACAAGAACACAAGTGACAAAATGAATGTTGTGCCTAGAAAGTTTTTACCAGCTTACAATAACAATGTGCCAAAACTACATTTCAAAAATAATATATTAAGTAACGTTTATATAACTTAGCTTAGCTGTCAGACATGATCTATTAGTCCTGTGATTCCAGTATGTTATTGTTTAGGTGGGGGATAACATTTTTACCATGTTCAACCCTGATGAAGTACCGATGTTTAGAGACTAGCACTTGTATTTTTACACAGGAAATAGTTTGCATGATGACCACTGAGGCAATGTCATGAGTTTTCCACCCTTCAGAGCCCATACAGTAGACACAATAATGATAAAACTACTGTAGCCATTTCAATATTTGTATAATCTACAGGCACATGGGTTTGAGATCCTGTGCTCAAGGTACAGGGATGTTGACAACGCTAGTTCTGCAGCAACAGCTTTAGAAGATTCAAATCCCAGATGGCAGCAGTTCAAGAAGTCTTTGGCAAGCAAGGGATACTTCAGAGTAAGCAGCTGTGGATACACGTTTATTTTCTTTGTTTCTGGGAAGGTGGTCAACAATCGACTGAAGAAGTTAGATTGTCGGGCAAAAGCTGCAAATATCCCAGCTTGGCTGCAAATAGACATTGTGCAATATTTATCCATAACCCCTTTCCCCCAAATATTAAATGAATGGAGAAGATCCTTGTTTTTTGGTGCTATCTTGTATAAATAGTTGTTATCAGAGTTAGTTTTTGTTAGAATGGAGTAATTGCCAAACAGAATATTAAATTTCAGCAGTAAATATTAAATCTCATGCGTAGTCTGCAGCAGAAATATCACTCTTGTCTGTAGTGAAGCATTAAAAAAAACATTCTGTTTAGGCCTTTTAAAAAAAAATTTTTTTTGCTAGAATTTTTTTCAGTCTTCTGTGAATTTCCACATTGAAGGCAACCGTAAAAAAAAAGTCAGACAAATGTAATTCTGAACTGGCAAAATTAAAGGATTGGCCGACTCCACACTGCCAGATTTATGCATTTTGAATTATACTTTATGCACTGGGGGGTTGTGGAATTAATCAACTACAGTAGTCATCAGATGTCTACTTCCAGCAAGACAGCTACTGGTGAATATTTGGTACTGGTTGAATGGTGGTTTTGTTCTACACACAATCGATACAGAATGTGGCAAACTACACTGATGAACACATGGTGAGACACTACCAAAACACAGCTAGTTGTTAAAACTTTTTTTATCCTTCTGTCAGAAACCTAATATCGGGAGGCTGTTAGTATTTATAAATGCTGCTGTGAGTTCAATTCCCCCCATTTAACATACAGATTTGCCTTGATTGAGGTTTTAACAGGCCAGTTGCTTCTCTGTTAGCAAAATACAGTTCAAGGTGTTGGAGCACTTGCTCATCAATTTTGACAGCTTTATTTTACTCACATTCAGCACAGACTTGATGTTGAACACTACACTGACAAAGCACAGAAACGATAACATCTGTTGTCAAACAGAAAAATATATTGTCTGGTCACAGACCTTGGGGATTTAACCAGATTATATACAAGCACCCATTAAATCCACATTATCTTGAGAGATTCCGGTTGTAATTCACCTCTACTGCCATCTGCTAAGGTTTAAATGTAGGATTATCCATGTGAAGGAGAAGTAAGGCACCCATTTCCCTTTGCTAGCCTAAGAGACGCTTTTGAACAAATTTTATTAGAGTAATGTGTAACGATAGAAGCAGATAATGGGCTGAGCTTGGAAACAGCCAACAGTTGTTCTCAGCATGCTGAGAGAGGTAATTACATGCATGCTTCATGCAGTGGCAAGCATTGCTTCAGAGGTCCCATGTAGTTAGCATCCTTTAGATGTTTTCTCACTGGGGGTATGCACGTATTTTGGGAAATGAACAGATAGATAGATTGGCTGGTTTAGCATCACTGTGTGGTGAATTGATGCATGACAAGCTAAATGTGGTCAGGGCCCTGTGGGATCAAATGAACAATGTGGAGACACAAATAGATTGTCATGGTCTGGTGGAAACGGTGCAGCTAGGAGTGACTAGGGGATCTGGCAAGCTCTGTACCTCATAGTAAAGGCAAGAAGGACACATCAAACTGCTGCTGATGCCACTGAAATTGGGAATCTTCATTGGCTGTTGAAAGTAAGGGTGATTAAGGGTGTAAGTTCTTAACCCAACTGTTGGTCTTGGGCTCAAGGTCTCCAACAGCAGGCAGAGGATAGACTGTAGTGACTGTGGTTTCTTTTGTCACCATAAAAATTATGGTAACTGCCAAAATGAAAGCAATGGCAATCACTCTTTTCAAAGATGGCAAGAAAAATCAGGGTTTAGTTGACATAGTACATGTTAGCAGCACTATTATGATGATTCCTCTTCTTCTTTGTAGTGTTCCTCAGCTGTTAGCTCTGGCGGAAAGATCTGGTTGTTTGTACACTTCTGGACTTTAGTCTTGTTCCAGAACTTGAAATTTCCATGCAAATTTGTTTTTCATGTCTGATTATTTTGTATGCAGACTGTTGGTTCCTTGCCTCTCAGACAGGTGCGCTCTGGCCTTGGAGGAAAAATTGCCTTTTACGACATGCTTGTTAAGGAAGCAGTTGGTCTGTTTTCACCCCCACCCCCTTTCCAGAATGGGACCTCAGAGCCCACACGGGGAATTATATATATACACACACACAAATAAATACATACATACATATACTTTATATATGTGTGTGTGTGTGTTTGTGTGTATGTATGTATGTGTGTGTGTATATATGTGTGTGTGTGTAAATATCCTTACAAATTGAATGTGTAACTTTCTCCCCAGGGGGAAATTGAAGGTTCTGTTTTATACAAGAAGCTTCTCCAGGATGCGAAACAGTTCTACCAGTCACAGATCCATGCAGGAGAGAAGTGAGAATCATTAAATAATGTCCTCTGAGTCATAAATTTTTTAGTTTATTGGCAGTTTAAAATTTAAAAACTTCCTTTCAAGTCAGAGTGCATCTGCTTGAGAGATGAGGAACCAACAGTCTGCTGATAGATAAGCCAGAACTGTAAAATGGATGTGCACACAACTCAAGTTCTAGAATAAGACTAAAAGTCTTGAGTTTACAGCAGGTGAATGTAAAGAAGAAGAATAAAAAGATCTAGAAGACAGTTGACAGCACATTTAATAATTTAGGGGCTACAGGGTATTGCAATTCACTTGCATAAAAGTGGTATTTTTCAACTCTTGCAGGAGCAAACCACAGTGTCACCATCGCCACTCTTCTAGGCAGCAAACTATATTATTGTAAGGTTGATGAGGTGAAAAATCTTTGTTAAAGCAGATAGTGATGCTGAACAGATTATCCACCTTGGTGAGACTGGTTTGGCAGAGAGTCGACATATTTAAATTATACTCATCATGAAAGAGAAAACAAATTTAGCAGGGAGTCAACATATTTGAATGACACTCAGATTGAAAGAAAAGATGTTAAAAATAGATACTGCGGTAGCAGTAAAGTGATCAAAAACAAATTCTTAACCTGCATAGCTGATTCTCAATAATTCTTTTTTTCCTTTTTAGTGGCATTGAATCAACAGGGCAGCTTGTGTTAAGACACTTGAAACTTTTGGAGCCAAAATTTGAAGAGTTCAGACAGGCTGAAAGACAGTTGCCACCATCTGATGGTTTGTCCTTTTTGTTATAACATTATAGTTATCAATTTTAATTATCTTGCCCTGTGGGTTCAAGACCCCATTGGGGGAAAACAAGAATAGACCCACTGCCTTCCCAACAAGCATGTCATAGGAGATGACTAATTGGTGGTTTCCTTTAAAGTCAGAATGCATCTTCCTGAGAGGCAAGTTACCAGCAGTCTGCATACAGATATGGCAGATTTGTAAAACGGATGTGCACACAACACTCAGGTTTTGGGACAAGTCTTAAGAATGAACAACCAGAACTTTCCCCAGAGTTTACAGCTGGTGAACGAAAAGAAGGAGAATTTTAATTATTTTTTTCTTATTACACACACTGAGGAAATAAGTGAAATGCCTTGTGCAGACGATCAATACCTTATACACCAACAAGAATAGAACCTACAACACCATATTGTATCATAACTGCACAATATATGACATGAAAATAGCCATAAATTCTAAGGTATTGAAAATAGGTATAAAAACAACAACCATGCTTGTAAACAGATGGTTTTGGTCATTAACGTCCATGTCATTGATACAACAGTTAAACAAGTTCAGGAATTCAAAAATGCAGGAAGAATATTTACAAAAGGTGGCAGATTTATTAGAGAGATAGAGGCTAGAGTTCAGAAGGATAGGGCTGTCACTTACCAGCTAGCTCAACTGCTCAGACACCCAAATTTATCACTTCCAGCAAAACAGCAGATTATTTATAACATCTTCTGAAGGTCGAGGGTTCAGGTACCAATGGAGCCTGACTTTTTTTCTTAAAAAATGACTGGCTTTGGTTGTGTACCAGGTATAGTTCTGGGAAGTAAAGGCGGCTGGAATAATGTTGACCACATCACCCACAGAGTGCCGAATGGTCTATAAAATATAGGTCTAGCCTTATCTGCCAAATATGTCTGAAGGCGTGGGAAAGGGTCATTTACTTTTTACTTACTCGCTTCTTTGACGGCATGGATGTGAGTGTGTCGTCTTTGGAAAATGAGGCAGAGGCCAACCTCTGCAAACGTGAATAGAAGACACTGAAGATGTATTGGCTAGAATGGGCTAGAGGAAGGGAGACTTTCAGGCAGCCCATGAAGAGAGTGACATTCTATAAAGGAACCAAATGAACACACAGCTGGACCCTGCAAGAACAGTGATTGGTGACCACATGAACACACAGCTGGACCCTGCAAGAACAGTGATTGGTGACCACATGAACACACAGCTGGACCCTGCAAGAACAGTGATTGGTGACCACATGAACACACAGCTGGACCCTGTAAGAACAGTGATTGGTGACCACATGAGCACACAGCTGGACCCTGCAAGAACAGTGATTGGTGACCACATGAACACACAGCTGGACCCTGCAAGAACAGTGACCAGTGATTGGTGACTATATGAACACACAGCTGGACCCTGCAAGAACAGTGATTAGTGATCACATGAATACACAGTTGGACCCTGCAAGAACAGTGATTCGTGACCACATGAAATCACAGCTGGACCCTGCAAGAACAGTGACCTTATTAGTGATTCTAGTAATCTGGTAATCTGGTAATCCTAGTTTCAGCATCATAGCAAACGGGTCACCCCATTGTTGCTCCGCTCCTGTGCCAACGAAAAACACTCGTAGCTCACAGTGTCACACCATGCACTCAACTCAGAAGCTGGGTGACGAAACCATATCCTTCCAGTCTACAAATGGAGCAAAAATGCAACGGCCACCGCCTGGCAGAACTGCCACGGCTTTAAAAAAAAAAAAAAAAAAAAAAGTGGCCGTGCCTAGCGTCCACTGTGACTTGAAGCATTATGTGAGGGGTTAACAAATGGTCACCCCAGCAGTACCCTCACTATTAGCTGGGAAAGGGACTTAGGACATTACATCCACCAGCAGGCGTCGCCCCTACAACGACCTGACTGCCTTCGTTAACGACTGTTCACCCAACAGCCATGCAGTTCTTTGGCACGAAGGAGACACCGTGAACTTGGGTTTCGGAATGCCGACTTCCTACAAAATGTTATTTTGTGTTTTGTTATCACAATCGACGTCACTGCACATTGGGCATACCCATGCGTGTGCAGTCCTCCGAAGCAGCAGCCACTCCAAAGTACTTCTACTAATTGTCCCCATGAGAAGCTGGTTATATTGTCTCCTTTCTCGGCCTCGCAGACGGCAAAGACGTGCTTCACCATGCTTAACTCCCATGTCACGCAATCGTGTTAGTGTCAGGGATTCGATATTATCCACTAGCCCAGTACGTACAGCGTTAACGATATCTGCTCTGTCCATGCTTTTTCCCGCAATCATTAGTGCTGTGCTTGCCAGTTGGTCCGCTCGCTCATTTCCCTTTACGCCCGCATGACCCGGTGTGTAGATCCAGGTTACGGAAGTTAAGTGCGATTTCCGAATGCTTTCTATCCATTCAGAGCGCATACTGCCAGTTGCTATTTTCTGAAGCATATTCATTGAGTCTGAGACAATTACTGCTTGTGTGGCGGTTTGCTCGGATACCCATGCTAAAGCTCTAGAAGCAGCGGCTATTTCCATTGTCATGCTTGACGTGGTTGTCTGGTAAGCGCCGCTATCTTCATGTATTGTTTTCCCCCTTCTTTGCGCTGTGTATGCCCATGCTGACCTTGATCCGCGCTTCACGGACCCATCTGTGTAGATGATGATATCTTCTGGGTCTGAATGCTGATCTATCAGTTCCCTTACTTTTGTGTCTATGGCCGCAGGAATCTGATCCCGACAGTACCTTCCTAGTGTGATGACAACCTTAGAGATGCCATGCATGTCTACTGGTGTATTCATCCATTCTTTCCGTGCCTGATAACGCGTAGGTCACATACCTGCTGGATCAAATTCTCAGCCTTTGCCATCCAAGAGCAGCCTCTTTTGAGACGCGTTCCTTTTGTGTCGTATATAGCTTTGTGCAATGGGTGGTTAGCGTCTGCCGATACCCTCATGTAAGCCTTGACTTGTGCCACTTTGTATCTACTAGTCATCGTCGGCAAACCCAGGACATAACGCATGGCGTTGCAGGAGGTGTCTTTTGTGCAGCCGAGTATGAGTCTCATGGCCTCATTTTGTACTCGGTCCAGTCTTTCTAGCTGGGTTTTGCTGACAGTGATGAGGCCAAGACCATAGTCAATGACGCTAAGCACAAGCCCTTGATAGAGAAGGAAAAGTAGGCGTTGTTCAATATCAGCTGCTGCTAGCACCTTGAGTGCTGTTAGACCTTTTCTGGCTCTAAGTATGACGTTGTCTACGTGGCATTTGTATGACAAGCATCTGTCAAATGTCATACCCAGGTATTTCATGGTGTCCGTTCTCTCGATGTCCACACCACATATGCTTACGACTGGCGTTGGTGTATTGACGATGTGAGTATTTAGAGAGAACCATGTTAAGGAGGCTTTGGACGGGTTCACATGAGCTCTTGATTCCTGGCACCACTCACTAAGTCTGTCCAGTTCGTGTTGTAGTGTGGTTGTAATTTCCTGCCTGTTTTTACCTCGACGGTAAACAAGAATATCATCTGCATACGACATTGTTCTACCTAGACCTACGCGTTGTGCACTAGTGACTCCTGCTGTGTAAACATTGAAGAGCACAGGCGACAGTGGTGATCCCTGTGGCAGACCCATTAGGACTCGTTGAGGTTCGGATGCCCATTTACCACATCGAAGCGACACTGTTCTTTCAAAAAACGTTGCTGCGATCCAGTTGACCAACTTTGTCTCTATCTGCATATCCAACAGCAGTCTGATAAGCATGTTGTATGGGACGCTGTTGTACGCATCTTCTAAGTCAATAGCGGCTGCAGCAGTTTCCATTCCCTCCTGGAAACCCTCATATGTGTCGTAAGCAAATACTGCAGCATTGCACCATGTATCTCTTCCTGGTCGGTAACCACCTAGTGTAGCGGGGAATAGACCACCCGACTCTAATTTTTGGGTTAACGTTCTGGCAACGATTTTTTCCATGAGTTTTCCTACCATGTTCTGAAGTGTTATGATCCTATAGCCATTTATTCTCGTGTGGTCTTTTCCTGGCTTAGGAACTGGTCTGAGATAGCTGTGGAGCCAGTCATCAGGAATAATGCCAGTTTTCATGGTGTTGTTAAAAATCGTGGATAGTTCATCCATATCTGTCATATCGAGGCTTTTGAAGTCGCTGTATCTAATGCCATCAGGACCTGGAGCTGTGTCTGGACAGGTCTTCAGTGTTGCTTTGATGCAGTCCGTTGAGATGTATACTGTATCATCGTCTTCCTCGATTTCAGCCATCTGGATATCATGTAAATTCTGTTTCATCTGCTCCCTATCTTCCCTGTCTTTCTTTTCCGTCTGCAGGAGAAATCTGTGCAGGATAGCCTCCCCTTTGTCTTTATCCGATTTTAACACCACCCCGTTGTCCATCTTTAGCTCGGGCATAACAGAGGTTTGTTTGCCTCCGTTCATTTTTTGGTGGAGCCGCCAGAATTTTCTGAGACATTTTTCGTAGCCTATTTCTTGACAAAAATGTTCCCACATTGTGTGCTTAGACTCCTTTGCGAGTTGTTTAAAATGTTCAGTGAGTCTGTCTTTTTTGTGTTTAATGTCTTGTTTCTGCGCCTCAGTAAAATTCGAAGACTTTCTGCATTTCTCCCAGTCTTTGGTGGCACCTCGTTTCTCTGTCCAGGCTTCTGCGACTTCAGGTGTCCACCACGGGGGCTGTTGAAAGATAGCTTTCTTCTTTCCCGGTGTTCTGCGTGACCTGTCTTGCAGACGCCCAATTACATCAGGCTGATTTGCAGCATACTGGAAAGAAGTGGCTGGTCTCTGATACCTTGTGCAGATTGTTTTTTTTGACCAGAATCCAACATGGAAGGTGGTCGCTTCCATGATGTCCCAGTACGCCCCACTGGCAAAGTGCACTCATACTGGGAGAGACCAGCGTGAGATCAAGGGCACTGTCAGTATCACCTTCTCTGTCGGGGATTCTGGTGGGTCTGCCATCATTCAAGCAGATTAAATCCGTGTCTGTTAGTGCTTCCTCCAGTGCCTCGCCCTGTTTATTGACCGTCAGATTGCCCCATAGACGACCTTTGGCATTGAAGTCCCCACATATAATGATGTCGGTGGTTATCTGCTCGCATATGTCACTTAAAATTGTCCACTTTTCTTTGTCAACTTTATCATTACAGGCATAGATGTTGATTAGTGTGAAAGGTTTACTTCCGTCTACCTTTACGGCCTGAACCTGAATTTCGCTGTTGTTCCATGCACTCGTGTCTACAACTGAGGATGTTATTCCGCGCCTGACCAGGATCGCTTGGCCTAGGTGTTTGCTGTTGTAGTACGTTTGGAAGCCTGAGACATTCAGAGCTTCTTCTGTATTCAGCCGGGTCTCCTGAAGTGCGATTATATCAGCATCATATATTAGTTTCTCCAAGATTGGGCCTCTCTGTCGAACACTCCTGCAGTTCCAGCAAAGAATGCGGAGATTTCTCTTGCCAAGGCGTTCTGATTTAGATTGGTTTTTTGCGTGCACCAGCACGTCTATTGCGCCGTTTTCTACCATGTTGTCCTCTTTTTCTTCTGTAGCGTGTAGACGCTGCTGCATCGGATCTCAGTACGGACGCACGAAATCCGTAGCTCTGGCGAGGATTGAGTTCATCAAAAATGTCTACCATATTTAATTAGTGAGAGTTTATTAACGTTACCCCAGTGGTGCCGTCGTGCTGGGGAAGGGGCCAGAGACGTAACGCCCATCAGCACAGTGTCGCCCCTGTACGACATAACTATGTGTGTGTAGCCTGATGAGATGTCATCGCAAAGAAAGGGGTACTAATTGTAAAAATAGAACTCCAAATGTCTGTAATTATTTCCTCTTCCATTCGCGAACCCGACCTATTCTCGAGTATGCAGCGGTGGAAAACATTGCCATCATGTGTTTAAATTGGTAAGAGGTTTGATTTGAGCGATGAAAACCGATTCACTACGCAAAGTGTTTGCCTTGAGATAATCTTGGTTGCTAGCGCCGCCATGCCGGAAGTGATTCTAGTGATCATGTTTATGTTTATTCGAGGGATCAGCATCATGGCACACGGGTGTAACCCATAAGTGCTCAGTTCTACTTCTAACTCAAGCCTGAATCTGAGAAATCTCAGCTCAGTGCACAAACTCTGCTGCCCAGATGAGGATCCTGAAATACTTTGGGTAGATTTTTAACTAAAAATTATGCCCGGGCAGCGCTGTTTGGCTACTCTTTTTAATTTCCAACTGCCAAGGGATATTTTACACGCGCAAGAATACACACTGGCGTCTGATCTCACTACCCAGAGCATAGGGAAAATTACTAGAAGTCCACGTAAAAAATCCCAGCCTTTACCAGAGCTTAAACCCAGGATCTCCAGCAATCGACGCAGACACCATACCTCGAGACTACTCAGCCTCCTCTGGTGTTCATGTGAGATGACAAACCAAAACCATCTGTTTACAAGCATGGTACGAAGATGACCATTTTGTTCGGTAATGCCTGATAATCAAACGGACTTTGTTTTGCAGATGACAGTTGGATCAACGTGACACCAGAGCAGCTGGATGAGATGATGAAGACTGCTGGGGGATTGTCCTCCTCAGACGGCCTGAATCTCTTCAAGGTGGCAGAGAGCATGACAGCCTTCGTGGAGCATGAATCTGGGATTGAAGGGGCAGAGTTTCCCAAGTAGGGATTTGTGTTCTGTGTGCTTGAATGGGTGTGCCCTGTGTGTGTCCCATCTGTCTGTTATTCTGGTAGTTTCTAAAATAAGGATTTGTACCACTTATGGGTCAGTCTGGCTGAGTTTTTATAGATAGTGCAGTGTCCAACTTCTATAAGTGCATTATTTCTGCATGAAGTATGGAAGTACGATCAGTGTAATATGGTTGATGGTTCATATTTTTTTACCTAAGGTATTTAATTGTTAATCTTTCGTCTGTTTGTGATGTGTTTCAGGGAATCAGCAGAAAATGATGGTGCTGATGGACAGTTTGAAAGCTCTGGACTTATTCAAGCTATGCAAAAGATATTTGGTGAGTCCATCATAAATGCTATAGAAGCTTCACTGCTGTAATATTGTCCTGAACTGTGCACTCCCCGTGTGGGTTCTGGGGCCCAATTATAGGGAAAACAAAAACAGACCCACTGCCTACCAAAAAGCATCTAGTTAGATTTGACTAATTAGGAGCTTCTTTCCAAGTCAGGGTGCATCTGCCTGAGAGGCAAGGAACCAGCAGTCTGCATACAAATGAGTCAGTCTGTAAAACAGATGCATGCGCAACACTCAGTTTTTTCTAGAACAGGACTGCAGTCCAAAAATGGATGAACAACCAGAACTTTCCGATAGAGTTTACAGCTGGTGAGCGCGAAGAAAAAGAACTGCACAGAAAAGTTGAGAAACCACTGACAGCAACTGAGTTGGTTTCTGAGAAAAGTGCAAAGAATATGATCAGCTGATAGAAAAGCAAACAAACAGACTACTTAAGGAAGCAGGTCAGTGCCGCAAATTTGTTACAGAAATTACATGTTCGGCAAATGGCGCCAATATTAAGAAACAAACATGTATCATCAGAAACCACAAAAGAGCGCTCTGTGACTCAGTCTTCTTGCAAACTCTGTGATATCAATACCAGACCTGGACAGTCACAGAACAAGAGAAAAAAAAAAATAACATGAGATCCTGCAAAGGGCTCTCAATATAACACGAAGAGATAAGATTAGAAAAAAATAAAATCTGAAGGAAATTGGCTGTAGCTGGAGCTCTGGATTTCATTAGAAGACAACATGAAATGGTTTGGCCAGATAACAAGGATGCCAGAGAGAGAGTGTACTACAGCAGGCAATGGTGTACAGACCAGGGAGGAGCTAAGAAGAGGCTGACCATGCAAGTGATGGACAGAGGAAATTACAAAGTCCATGAGGATCTGAATTTATGAAGCACACAAACCGGCGCTTTCCCAAAATTTGGACTTTACCTCCACACCGCAATGTACGGGAAGATCATGATGAGATGATGGGTTATTTTATTTTTTGACATGTTTAAATTGATAGAACGAACGTGTAAGGAGAATAACACAATAAATACCTGGTTGAATTAGTCCTAGGGCATTAAAGAGCGGGGCCGCGTTAACTCAGTCGATAAGAGAATCGCTTTGAAATCCAGCTGCGACTCTCTGCAGCCCATCGGCCGCGTTTGCAACTGGGCGGTTCCCAGGGTTGACCTAGTCTCTAGATAATGGGTACCAGAGTTAACACTCTAGGGTAAATGGAGGAACATCACTGTAGCGGCAGAGTTGTGTGCGGACGGCGAAAGTTTTTTATCAGCTGTCGGTACTGGTGGCAGAGCACTTATGGTTTATAACCCTGTGCAGTGACGCTGGTTCACATCTCCTGACTTTACCTTTTACCGTTACATTAGAGAGAGAGAGAAAAAAAATGAAGGCAAGCACGAATCCAGACTCTTGCATTGTGTTAGATGCTGTACTGTGTGTAAGGTGGTGTTTTTTTTAGAGGGGGGTTGAGTGGTGACAATTTATGTATGCAACTTTTTAAAATAAATGGTTAAAATTGACAATTGCAGTTATTTTAATAAATAGTGAAAGGTAATGTACGCAGCATTTTAAAAATAAAGGGTTACAATTTATGTAATGGTTTCGACAGTGGTATTGAGAAGCCGACCATCAAGAAAGCATTGGCAAACTACTGGATGTAAATTTGTCTTAGAAAAAAACCACAACAGCTAATGCTGGGGTTGGTTCTGCAGTGCCCTGCAATGGATACTCAACTTCTTGTTCTTCTTTGCGTTCACCAGCTGTACGCTCTGACGGAAAGTTCTGGTTGCTCGTCCATTACTGAACTGCAGTCCTGCTCCAGAACCTGAGTGTTGCGTGTGCATCAGTTTTACAGATCTCATTCTCTTGAATACAGACTGTTGGTTCCTTGCCTCTCTGGCAGATGCACTCGGACTTCAAAGGAAGCTCCCCAATTAGTCGACTTTTACGACATGCTTTTGGGGAGGCAGTGGGTCTATTTTTGTTTTCCCCACAATGGGGCACCGGAACCCACACAGGGGAGAGGATACGCAACTAACTTTGTAACAATTTATCTATGCAGTTTGTTCGATAAATTGTGAAATTTATTATTGCATTTTTTTTCAAATTTATTGTGAAAGTTTATAAGTAACATTTTAAATAAAAAATTAAAGTTAAAGTATGCAGCCTTTTTATAAATTATGACAGATTATGCATGAAACTTTTTAAATAAATAGTTGAAAGTTATGAATGCAACCTTTTTTTTTTATTTTAAATAGGCAGCGTTTTTAAAGTGGGGAAAGTTTATGAATGCAACATTTGTAAATAAATGGTGAAGGCTTATATATGTAACTATTTTTTTTTTAAATAGTGAAAGCTCATATCATCATCATCATTATCAGGTGCCTTGCCGACCTGCGTGGGCGATCATGTCTCTCCATAATCTGCGATCTACTGCAGCATGTATCAGTTTGTGTGCCGACACACCTCCATGCCATGCAACAAGACTGTCAAGCATCTTCTCTTGTTGTCTTCCTCTATCCCTCCTTCCACAGATCTTTCCAGTGGTCACAACATATTCTATTTTCCCTCTTCTCATAACATGGCTGAAAATTATGACTGTCTCCTTCTAATGTCTGTGATAGTTGTCTTCGTGCTCCCGCCTCTTTCAAAACCTCTTGGTTGCTCTTTTTGGCTGTCCTAGGTATTTTAAGCATTCTTCTGTAAAACCACATCTCTGGGGTCTCGAGAAATTGTTTGGCCTGCCTACCGATTGTCCAGGATTCACAGCCATATGTTAAAACTGGATGTATGTAGCAAGCAAGAATTCTTTTTCTAACTTTCAATGACAAGGATATATTGCACAAGATGTTTTTCATTTGATAAAATGCAGTTTTTGCCTGTCCTATTCTATTTCTTATCTCAGTTATGCATCTTCCATCTGATGTTATCCATGTGCCTAGAAACTTAAATTTCTGTACTTGTCCTAAAATAACACCATCCACTTTTTTTTCACATTTAGGAATGATTCGTTTCTTTGATACCACCATTATTTCTGTCTTCCCATTATTCAAACTAAGGCCCATTCTTCCACTTTATAACACCACAATGTCTATCATTTCCTGTAGTTCTTTCTGACTTGTTATCAAGACTGTGTCATCAGCATAACGTAAATTGTTTATATTGAGCCCACCAACCACAATTCCGGGCATATAAATTAAAGATCTCATATATATAACTTAAAAAAATATATAAATGGTGACAGTTTGTGTATGCATTTAAATATGTGACATATATAGTGAAAGTTTATATATGAAACTTTTTCAATAAATGATGAAAGTTTATGTATCTTTTAATTATTTTCCAGAATTCCCAGATGATGAAGATTCTACCGGTTCTGACATGAGCGAGTATGACTGGTCAGAGGGAAGCGATGACGAGCTGGGTTCCCCAAGCAAAATGCCCAAAACTGTCAAAAAGAGCAGTTTAAAAAAGGCCAAAGTACCTAAAGCAGGTGATCAGAATGGTGGGCTAAACCACAGAAAATCCACATCAAAGTCTGTCAGATTCAGCACTCCAGACTCTGCTTTGACACTTAACCCTGCTGTTTCATCACCAGAAACAGTTACTTCAACTCCTCCAGTTCCAGCAACTAGTCAGGATGCTGCTTCATCTTCTTCAGTAAACAGACCAACAAATTTAATCCCCACATCACATGGCCAGTCAGACCTTTCCTCAGCCACCAAGTCAAGCAGCCGACCAACTTGTATCCCACCCCCTGTACCGGCACGTCCCCCTAGACAGAAGGAGGGCTTCAAACCGTTGAACAAACCCAGCTCTGTTGTTAAGCCTTCTGCCCCTCCGCCCCCACCACCACCAGCAGGGGAGAAAAGAGACAAGAAACTTGTGGCCTTGATGGAAGCAATGGATCGAGAGTTAGCAGCAACAGATGTTGGCAAGAGTTTTGAAAGAGAACCAAAACAGGTAATCATTGTTCACACTAATGTTATATGTTTCATCATCTCACACAATCACTCTGATCAAGAAACAAGTTATTGCGTTTGTCTTTCCTCACAGCAATACAGGTGAGAGGACAAAATTAGGGTATGGACAAAACAGGAGTCTGAGAGAGTGTATGGCTATGACAAGAGACAAAATGTTGGAGATCTATTGCAGCCAACCTTCATTGTGGAGATGGCACCTGATGGAATGATTAATTACAGGTTGCATTGCTGGTGTGACTCACTCCCTTTTTGAAAATTGTCTTTTTTTTTTTTTTTTTTTTGCATTTGGTCAGACAGTCAGGTGGGTTGCCTCTATGAACATGCATGCCAGCAGCAGATCCTTCATGGTTCCCCATAGCTGGCTCTGCACGCTTGTTCTTCAGGCCAGGTCTCTTTGAGAAATTGTAGGTACAGTAGGCAGGTCTGCAGAATGTGCTTAGGGGTTTGTGGTCCTGTCTGAAAGACACACTGTGGGGACTGTACAGTTTTTATTTTATGCAGGTGGTAGCTGAGCTTGCAATGTCCTGTTCTTAGACAAACGAACAAAGAAATTTTATTTTAAAAGGGTTAAGAATTGGGCACGCACCCCTGTCTAACATTCTGCTCTTCCAGTCTACTCCTTGTATACAGTAATTCAATTGTACATTATTTCAGAGTTAATAATAATAAACAAAACATTTACAACCTCGAAGTCTTCATTACAAAAGCTGGAATGTGCTCTAATTATACTTCTATTACTGAGCTTTTTAAAAAGTATAGTGATAAACCTAATTCAAAAATGTTATAAGTCAAATGGGTTGCATAATATAAACATCATCAACAAAAAATAAATATTCTTTACAGTTAAGATCATTATAAAAAATTAAGAATAAGACATTTTAATTCTCCTATACTTTTTTTTCATAGCCTAGACCAAAACGAACCAGCAGACCCCCTCCACCATCAAGACCCACAAAATCTGGCCCAAAGGCAGCCCAGAAGAACATAGAAGATGAAGATGATGACTTCCAGCCAGTGAATATAGACTTGACTGTCGTCAAAAATACTCTTGAATCCTACAAGGCACAGCAAGGCTTGCCAGGACCAGCTTCAAATATTCTAGCGGCCTTTGGGATCAAACTTCCACAGGACCAAGTCAACGGGAAGACATAAGTAACAGAGAGCAGATAATGCTGGGACAATTCAGATCTGCTGTTTCATTATTTTTGTTATTTGAGATGCATTATTTTTGGTTGTTTGGTTAGTGAAACCTCTCAAAAGCCGAGTTTTTAATTCTGAACCCTTTGAGGACCAGAAAGACATAGAGTCATATAAAGTTTTTAGGCATTCATTTGACTTTATTGGGTATTTGTTTATCATAAAACAACCTCATTACTTGAGAAAAATGTCCATCGGCAAATCAGATGACAATCTGTTAATCAAGCGTGCACGCATGTGCGCAGGCGCACACACACATGTTTTTATATAGGGACACATGTTTCACGGCCATAGAAGGGTTAAGTATTATGCACAGCATCCGGTCATTTGAGGTTAGAAAAGTGTCTGTGTTTATTGAAGGGAGGTTGTGAAGAGACTTTCTTCTGATCCCAGTACCAAAGTACTATGTCCACAGTAACTGTGTTGTGGGCCTCTCCCTGAAACCCTCCGAGCTCAGAAATCAGATCAGCAGGGTGTGCAGGTCTGATCATGGAGTTTTGCACTTGCGGACAGTCATGTTAGAATTAAGCAGATCATGATTTTGCGTAGAACACGCAGACTGGCTGGGGTAAGACCTGAATTCATTTTTTTAAAAATTAACTCCATGTTTTATTATTTCTTTGTTAACAATGAAGCTAGGCATGTAGTTTTATGGAAGTATAAACATATTTTTTAAAGGCTGTTAACAACGAAGCTAGGCATATAGTTTCTTGAAAGTAAAAACAATCAAGTGCAGAGCTTCTGAAGAAACAAGGAATGACAAGATAGTTGCAAAGGAGATTAAAAGAGAGAGAATAATGAAATAATTTGGCTGTCTTAAAATATACAACCTTTTTTTTTAATTTATTTTTTTAAACCATACTGGAGATAAAATGTTGAAGTCAGGTGAGCAATAGGAAGACGCGATACAAATTGGAGGATAGCATCATGGGATAAATGATCAACAGTCAGAGAGCGTGTAATCTAGAGCAAAAGACGGAGAGCCATTGCAGCCAACCTTCATTGTGAAGTCGGCTCCTGATTGATTAACTGCTAACAGACAACATTATTCATTCTAGAGGGGTTTGCATTATTGTAAATGATTCTGTACATAACAGTTTCCTTTTCTGTGTGTTACTTTATCATTACAATGTCATTGATGTTGACATCATATGCCAGGTTGTTGTTTGAAAACACTTTTTGTTTCTCAAAGTCATGATCAGTCAAAAGTGTACACATTTATAACTTTAGAATTTAAATTATTTTTTTTTTTTAAACAAAGTCTTAGTTTTAAATAGTAATTTCAAGAAGACCAAATAGGGATTGCATGTGATTGTTATCACTGTTAATTGATCATAAATTGATATGTTGTTGTCATAATATAACCGATAGCACATCAACCTACTTAATAATATAAGTAATAATCATAATAATTACTATTAATCACTTTTCTAATATTTTTATACTATTAGTACTTGATTCTTCGCAATATTTATACAGGTAGCTAATTTTTGACAAATATGTGCATGTGTATGTGTGTGTATATATATATATACATACACATTAAGGTTGTTTTAACAAGTATTTGTAGTATTTTCTAGAGGAGAGGCAAGTGGAACATTCAGGTTTTTTTTACATGAAAAATAAAGTGTTGTTCTATGGTTTCAGTGGCTCATTGTTAATTTACCTCTTGGAATAGAATCTTCTTCTTTTGTTGTCTCACTGTTAACCAGGTTGTAGCCCAGTGTCGTGGTTTTCTGTATATGCGCTTCTTGATGGATGGATTTGTTCAACTTTTCACAGGTTTCATCTGCACCATTTATCCATCTCTTTCTTGGTCTTCCTCATATCTTCCTTCCAGATGTTCTGCTGTGAAAAGCCTCATATGCAGTCTGGTCTGGCTGCATTCTCACTAGATGGCCGAACCATTAGAGTGGAATCATGGTGGTGTATTGCTTAGCGCATAATCTTACCTCGACAGTGAGTCAGTAGCATGTCCTTTGCAGAACCTTGCTCCCATAACAATCTTCAGGAAAACTTCTCGATCACAAGCAAGATGTCCCTCGTCTGATACACCCTTCTGGAGATCATCTGCCACATCCTGCACCCATCTTCTCTTTGGCCTTCCTCTTCCTCTCTTCCCAGGCTTATACTCCTTTATTATTGTTCTCTAAACTTTTGTTATGTTTCAAGTGACCAAAATATTTCAGTTTTTGTGTGTTTTATCATCTTTAATAGCCAACCTTCTTTCAGTGGTCAGCTCTTGAAGTATGGATGCGTGTGTTCTTTTCTTTGCCCATGATATTCTTAGAACCTGTCTATAACATTTGTATTCAAAGGTATTTATGTGCTGTTTAGCTTGTTTAGTACCTCGACAGTGCAAAGTATTATTTTTTTTTTTCAATCAGCCACTACAGCTCAAGAGTGACAAACTTTGTAAAATGTGTAATTGATTATTTTTAGAATTATCCAGAAATTTTGTGGAAAGAAAGGCCATTGAGAACAAGAACTGGCCTACATTCCTGATTATGCCTTGACCTAGAATGAAAAGGCTAAACCCCTAGCAGCAGTACATACCTCACCTCATTATTAGATCACAACTTTATTCATGTATTGACAGGGATAACGTTACCATTTGTTTTCAACACAGTATTTTGATTACGGTTAAGAGCAAGGAAAAACTTGCAATATTGAGCTCCAATGTCAAAGCACTACTACTATTTCTATGGCTTACAGGTTAGTGAATGCATTTAACAATTTCATGATCCTTGAGTACTGGGAATTGATTTCTCAACAGGCAGAAAATTTTTTTTTTTTTTTCCACTGCATTTGTAGTTTTTTAAGCAGTAGTACTTGAGTTGCAAAGTGGAAGAGATTGGGGCCTCACCACGTAATATTGCCAAAGACAGTAGTGGGCTGTGCTGTAGCCAACTTTCCCTCTTCTCAAAATTCTCCCTTATTGTTTGTGAAAGGTTGTCATTAGGGGCCTCTTTCAAAAACCATTTACAGTTTGGAAAAGTGGTCAGTCCATTTGGTTGGGTGGGTTGGGTGTTCGTTTCATGGCTGTGTGGTTCGATTCAGGAGTGCAATTTTTACAGAGGTCTTTGGGGATCATTACCAGGACTGCAAAGTTTTTGCTTTGTGTGAGGCTGTCATTTGTGGAGAGCAACAGAACTATATGGGATAAATCCTACTGCAATGAAGTCACTCCTCTCGACCCAAACTGTAGCCATCCTGTGTTGTGGAGATGGCACTCTTTTCATGTTTTTCTGTTGTGTGTCATCATCATCATGTAGCAGGTCCTTTGCAGTACTTCGCTTTCATCACAGTCCACCTGAAATAATCTTGGCAGCTCTCCCCCCATGTACTGTCATATCCAAGGAGTCACTTATATCCTGTGACCATCTTCATGTTGGTCGACCACTGCCCCTCCATCCTAATTCCAAGAAATTGCTGTTATATTTTCCAGCCTGCAGTGGCACTTAATATGGCAAAAATATTTCAGCTTCCGAAACAAGATGTTGTTTAATAGTTACAGCTACAGATGTTTAGGTCTTTTAAAATGTCAGTATTTCTTCTCTTTTTCTTCCTTGTCCATGGTTTTCTGAAAATCTTTCTATAGCATTTCAGCTCAAAAGCCTCTATGTTCTTCCTCAAGGACTAGGAAATAGTCCATGACTCACACCTGTATGTTCCTACAGGGAAGATGCTTGCTGTCAAAGTGTTAACTTTGATTTCCTTGTTGGTGCTTAACCATAGACTGTTAATGCTGTTTGATCTTCAGTTGCCATGTTGTGTGTGTAGGCTACAATGAAATACTGTGTCAGATTATGTTCCTAAGATGAGTAAAATAGTGAAAGACCCTTCTCCGCACCTTCAGGCTTATAGGGCTAGGCCTGTATTTTATAGTCCAATCGGCAAGTAGTGGGTGATGTGGTCAGCATCTCGTCGGCCAGCTTTACTTCCCAGGACTCCACCCTGCACCCATTCAAGGCTGGGTCAACCTGGGAGCCAAGGTCTTTCTGGAAAATAGTCCGTCAGTGTCAGAACCTGAACCTATGAGTTTTTGTTCCACAAATGAGCGTCTAGCCACTGCACTGTGGTGGCTCCTGCTAAAATAAATAGCAAAGGAAATAACAACTCCATTACAGCTTCGGCAAAAAGCTAGTTGTGTATCCTTTTATTGTGTTGCAGAACCAAGCCCTAGCATTTTTCGGTTGTTTGTGAGTTTACTAAGCAATTTTATGTTTACTAATTTGCCATTGCTTTCGGTCAGCTGCAAATTACTTGCAGCTGGGATCAAACCTGGCACCTCTTCATTATGAAGCATTTTTGTAATACCTAAGCCGCAGGACCTTTTTCACACCTTCGGAGCAGGGGACATATAGGGCTAGACTTATATTTTCATAGACCAGTCCCCACTCGATAGGCAATATGGTCAATGTCACACTGCCTGCCTTTGTTTCCCAGGACATTACCCGGTACCCATTTTAGGCCAGGTCATCCCGGGTCTAGGTCAGTTTTGAAGACAATCCGAAAAATTCCCTTTAACGAGACGCTGTGCTAAATCAAAAATAGTGTGTTCTTGCTGATTTTTTAAAAATTGTTTTTCTCACACTTGGCTTATTTGGCAAGTTGTTTTATTTAAAGTTTGTTCCTAAAGGAAGTTGTTACTATTTACTTTCCTAAACTTGGTAAGTTTTATTTTATAACTTTTTTCCAGTTATCTTTTTATTTTGTTTTAGCAGTCTAGTATCTGATCCTTCTTTATTTTAAAATGTATAATCATTTTTCATTCTCTCTTTTGAGAAATAATTATACAGAATTAATAAACATGACATTTTGTGTATAAATGTTTTCTGAATTTCAGTTTGTGTCCTGTTAAGTTTTTTTTGTTTTTCAAGAGAAATGCTGTATTTACATAAATGTTTCACTACACAGTATTCAACAAAATTAAACATAAATAATTTAAAAAA